TCCCCTAAACAGTTTTTCGTAATTTATAACTTTGAACATAACCTGTCTTCAGAAAGGAAAACATATAAATAATCCGTCGGGCACAGCTAATATATATACTTCATTGGCAGCATATTCAGTAATGATTATCTCACACAGGAAATATCACTGATTTTATACAGAGGCAGACCAATACACATAATCATCCAGATGCGATCTTGCTATTCAACCAACGTTCTTCTCAGAGATAAAAACCACAGACCACTCGGCTTCACAAAACATATGCAACCAATAAGTTGAGTGATTCCTCAACAGGTGGACGTTCACAACGATCCTAGTGAGCAGACGTGGAATGACTGTTTGCGCCCTAAGAACTACCTAGTCTGCAATTTGACATCTTATAGGTTTTTTTGACGTTTTATGGGTTTTTTACATAATACCGGTGCCAAGCGTTGGGAAGCAGAAAGACACCGGTAAACAGCAGGCCCGGCCAGCGGTTTTGAATAGCGCGCCTAAGATTTATTGATGTTTCACAGCACGTATCAGCACTTACCTATAACAGGACGAACTTTTTTGCATTTACAAACTGAATTACCGAGCGTACTTCACAATCGGCGGGTCAGAATATCATCATGATCATCATCAACTGAACGGCAGGGGCATTATGTAAAAAAACCTATAATACGTCAAAAAAACCTAAAAGATGTCATCTTTCAAGGCAGCAAACAGTCATTCCACGTTTGCTCACCGCATTGTTAGTTGCATATGTTTTGTGAAGCCGAGTGGTCTGTAGTTTTTATCTCTGAGAAGAAAGTTGGTTGAGTAGCAATATCGCATCTGGATGATTATGTGTATTGGTCTGCATTTGTATAAAATCAGTGATATTTGCTGCATGAGAAAATCATTACTGAATATGCTGCCTATTAGCTGTGCCCGACGAGTTATTTGTGTTGTGCTTTCTGAAGAGAGGTTATGTTCAAAGTATTAAATTACGAAAAACTTTGAGGAGAATTACGGGAAATCACCCCCGCATCCGGGTTGTGTGTAATTACTGTTAGCATGTATATGGCTTGTAATTCAACAGTGTACAGTGAATATAATTATTTCTTATCTATTTTACATCACATCAGAGCCAAACATTGATAGCTGAAGCCTCATGAGGTTTAACCAACACGTACAAATAAGTGCTAAGTTAAAAACAGTATAATGTAAAACAAAATATAACGTCACTTTTAAAGATACGTAATGCCCATGCGGATTAGGCCAAACGCATGTTCCACAGTCCACCTCATTCTCGGGCGGACTATGCATCTTTGTTCTTTTGGCTTATATTTGAGAGCCATGTTAGGAATGCATCCATTTTCCATTCTTTGTACATGGTCGAACCATTTCTGCTGATAGTTAACATTGCCCTTAAAAATTTCACTTCGGCCGATTGTATCTTAGGACCCAGGCTTCATATCAATACATCAATGCAGCACAGCCATTGCTCTATAAAATTTTAGCCGGGAATCTTATCGGTACTGGTTTAGATTTCTTCTTATTGTGTCGCACATTCTGTACCCGGCCGTCAGTTTTTTGTCAATGTCGTTATCATCCGTATGTACATCTCTTCCTAGATATATGAATACACATATCTGTTCTACAGTTATGTGTTTTAGATGCTTGCTCTCACTGTTTCATTCCCCATGAAGCTCAAGACTCATTTTAGACATTGATATGACACAGTTACACACCGTAGTCATATTATTCAGTAGGTGCATAGCTAATTGGAGTTTGTCTTCAGAGGAAATAATCAATCTAGTCTTAAAATTTCATAACCTGTACCCACTGGATTTCCAAGGAGTATTCCCATAAAGTTCCGATTCTCGCTTCAATAAAACTTTCAATAAAACTGGTAAAAATATAATATTTATAATGTAATTTTCTATCAAAATATTTATTAGAAAAAAAACAGTACCATCAAACCTGTGAACTTAAAAAACTTCTTCCTGAACCAATTTATATAATTGACACGATTTCTCGTATCGGCATCGATTCCAGAAAAAAAAACTGTTTACCTATCCTTGAACAAACTACCGGGCTTGTGAGCGTTTTGAAAATATTTACTTTTAAATATATGCACGCGTAGTTTTTTATGCTTGCGGTTTAAATAGAAGTATACGAAGTGATATATAAAAAAGCACCCAGTAATAATTAATTTATTATAAAGATTTTCTAGGTATATGCTTGTTTAGGTTTGTTTAGGTTAAGGCCAAAAAGCATCAGCTTTTCAACCACATGGATATGGTAGTTGTTATATCGACTGTTCTTACAAAAAAATGTAAGAAAGTTATTGTACTTGTATGTTATAGCTACCATTGGCGTTTGATCATCATACAATAAGTTCTGAAGAGCTGCTTTAGTCTGTTCATTATGCTTAGAGTAAGAAGAGGAGAAACTTTTCAACAGCTTACCAAATTTGATAGGGGGCGAATAATGAGGCTGTTAGATCCTTTAGAGTAATAGCCACTAGGGTGCAAAGAAGTCTAAATACGATGGTAGTTTGGTGTAGAGCATGGAATCAGGAAGATCGTACATGAAGAGTTACAGGTATAGGGAGGGCATGTCTCACCAAGATCGACTTTTGGACCACAAGGTCAATTCTGGACCAATGGTTTGGGGAACATGGAAAGCCTATTACAATGTGAGTTGTTTATCACCAATTTTGGACTTTTTTGTACGCTCCTCAGCTTGTCCTAGCTCTCACTCCAGGCACCTAAATGGCTGAACTGAGATCTCTAGTGGAATACCATTGTCTTTACTGATGAATCCAGATTCTGTTTGGGGATGACGAGATTCTCAATTTTCTATGGAAACACATGTGCACCACACTGAATTATGGTTTCGGGGACTATTGCTTATTGAAGCAGGTCATCTTTGGTGTTCATCAGAGGCGTATCCAGAGGGCGAGGGAACCTCATGTTTTGCCTTATATGCGGTCGCACATCAACCTACTTTTCCAACAAGACAAAGTGCGACCAAATATACCCAGAATTACGTTGATCCATTCCGAAGACAATCAAGTGGATTTGCTTTGGCCGCTAAATATTCTGATCTTTCACCCGTTGAACATGTCCGCGCATATATCCAAAAAAGGGTTGTAATAAAATCATTATTATTGCGTGTTATTATCATCATCATGTAATCAATTTGTTATTAATTGAACTTCTAAGGCTGTGTTCTCATGATTGTGGAGCAATGATTCAACTTGTCAATTTAAATGTGGCATTGTAAGTAGCACGTTCATGATTATATCTACATACAACATTACAATTTGTTTAATTATTAGCTGTTTTAAGATTATCAGTTACAGACAGAATGGTCAGTTAATGATTTCTTTTCTTCGACAGTTTAAGTAAAGTTAAAATTAAAAAAACTTGAGTGGTTTCTGAAATGGCCGATTCATTTAAATGGAATCCTTGAGCTTCTCGTACATCCAATTCTACTCAACTGACGTTCTTTTAATACACTCTCAACACTGCCTTAATTACGCCTGTTTTTATGGATGTCATTAAAAACTTCCGAGAGTGTCGGGAAGGAAAAAGTTTTTATTCATGGAACACTCTTCCGGATGCTTCCGCTGCTGTATTAATTTCAATTACATTTGCTTTACTTATTTATTAAGGAAGCTTTATGGACTTGCTTCGCTTAATGGTTTAATACTGCTCTCAGTCGTAGCACCGTTCATTAACTCAATCTCCAAGAATATGCTCAATCCAGCCATGTTGCCAAACAGAATCGCACTAATTCCTTTAGAAAAAACTCCATTTAATTTTAGAGGAAATTGTTTATTTGCAAACATATTAACCTTTCCAAGGTTAGCAAATTCGATTATGCTGTTCGGAGACCCCATCTACAATACGGCACTGAGGAAGGAGAAATATGGGCAGCTAATGCTCAGAAGCCAGCTCTAAGTGGTGTTGGGCATGGTATGCGCTTACAGAACAATGTCGACGTATGCAATGCTGGTGTTGGCTGGTATCCGACCAACTGATTTGTTGACTGAGGAGAGATGCGCGCTTCATGAAAAAGATCATGGTGCATGGACTACAAAGTTGATTCCAGATATTAGAATCTGGATTGACAATGGAGAATGGACATGGTTGTTTTGACAGTTATCTAAAGAGCGTAGAAAAGAGAGAGTACGCGAACTGCGGGACGGCCGATTCGAGAAAATAAAAAGTCCAATGAGCATATTCAAATAAAATGTTTGTCGAAAATGTGACTGACGGACTATGTGAGACTTTTCCAATGACCTATATGAGTACTTTGGAAGTGAAGGTTGATTCGTACGTGACTAATATGGACTGTAACAACCTCTCAAAAAAATGCAAACTCGTAGGAAAATCCTCAGTTTGGAGGGCTCGCACAAAAGGGTACAAATCCATCATCGCCTAGCGTTTACCACACTTTAGTCTTGGAGACTTGCACTTGTCCAGCCACTTCCATAGTGCTTGTTGAAAGATACAAAATTGAATACTACTTCCTTTGGTTGCACCATTCGCTGTTGTCTAGGACTCTGTATGCCTAGCTCTTTGGAAATGTGAAGAAATCTACGCGGCCCTGAATGATAACGTATGGGAAAGCGTTCTACATACACTTGCGAACTCTCGGTAGCATTTTAAAGACCATAACTCACTATTAATTAGAAGTTCGATATTGCGGTACTAGTGTGCCATTTTCATTTTGAAAGCAGAACCGTGGTGGGATGTGTAGTGAACAACTGAAGGATTTTAATGAGTATACTACTTCTGGAGAATCTCACTCTTCGGGTGTCCACTGTCCAAAAAGAATCTCCCTAGTAATTATTCATACAATTTCGTGTTCTCAGAATTTCTCAACCACAAAACAGCAAATTCTATAACCTGTGGCAACATTTCGACAGGCGCCAGCGCTGCCGCCTCAAGAGTACGAATGAAATGTTCACCTAAAAATTTTAACGCTATACTTTTGAATATCAATGTATTTTTTCATTTCAGCATGTGATATGAATGTGCATAAAAGATGCGTCGAGAGTGTTCCAAACTTGTGTGGATGTGATCATACGGAGAGGAGGGGAAGAATTCAGCTAAAAATCACTTGCACAGGAAGCAAACTGGTTGTTGAAGGTCAGTATCAATTCACATGATGAATATCAGTCACAAAAATACCATGTAATACATTCAGAAACGAAGTTCATCAAAAATCTTTCGAGTTATGTCCTCAAAAATATACAGGGTGTGTCAAATTTGATCCACACCATTGGGATCTTGGAAACGGTAATGCCGCTTAGAACGTTTCGAAATTCAAAGTGCTAAAAAAACCGAATCGTTATAATGTTTGCCTGACTTGATTTGTAGTGGGATTTAAAAATAAACTACACGTTAACATTGCCACTTTCTCTTCTCTACAAGACGGCGTAATCAGAATTTCAGCAATAAATTCATTTTTTATGAAGGATGTTATATTGAATTTTTGCACAGGTGAATAGAGTTTTTAACTATGATTCCACAAATGTATAATATGTCATACATTGACATTGCCAAACCTTATTTATTAAAAAAAATGAAATTATCAAATAGTGATTTGTTTCAAATACCAGATTTATGGCCAAATCATTTTTATTTTTCCGGCCTTTATTTGAGATTGAGCCGAAATTTTGGTATCCGGTTTCAGCTGAAATATCTACTAGTTTCGGAGGACACTAGAGTTTGATATGAGAGCTACAATCGACACATTCACCATTTCTACATCATGAGGTTGCTTTAGTCCATTGATTCCCAAAGTGGTCTATATCGACCCCTAGGGGTCTATGACAACCTGCAAGGGGTCTACGTCAGCGAAAAAAAAATTGGGGGTCCATGAAATGAACATGGGGGTCCAGGATAGTGGATCTCAACACATACACTGATAGTACCTATTTACTTACATCATACTATCTTATAATAACAAAACATATACATTATTTATAAAAGTACCTATGAAGTAAAAAATTTATTATATATGTTTATAAAATTGTGTAAGTTGTAGAATGCTGGTATTCGCTTTGTGGTCGCAATACATTTTGAACTTGTAAAAGCCTGAGTCTCAGAGCTTCGCTACCTTGCACTGACTTGTTCAATTCGTCACTCTATAAATACGAATGTGGGACAAATACGATTATTCGTTTCCTGAATCTTGAAAAGGAAACTGCTAAGAAAATATTTTAAAAAATATAAACAGATAGTATATCACACAAATTATAGTAAGTCAGTGTTATTTTGTTTGAGAGTGCTGGAGAAAAGTAAGTACATTATTTTTTATTAAATTTTAGTTTTGTACTCGTAGTTAGCAAAGATAGATAAATTACGCCAATCATGACTTTAGTTATTTGTAGTTAAATATTCAATCATGCAACATTACAAAGTACTCCTCTTCTTTTTGAAAGTTTTAGCAATCGGTAATATAATTACAGTGCAATCTCCGTAATTCGAGCTAATTGTTGCAAGAAGATGTTCGAATTATGGAATGTTTTCGGAAAAACCAAAAAATATTTTTAATATACAGCTGCTGGATTTTCTGTCTTATTTAAATAATTTCATTTTGTCCACAGATGACTGATGCCATGTCCGAATCTAAAAAGAAATGTAGACAGTACAGTGTTGATTATTTGAAATTTGGCTTCATTCCATCATTGCCGGACAAACAATCGCCTATGTGCCTTTTATGCAATAAAGTTTTGGGCAATGACGCTATGAAACCATCTAAACTGCAAGATCATCTGAGAAGATGCCACCCTGATAAAACAGAGAAAGATTTGAAATGCTTTCAAACACTCAAAGATAAATTTCAGAAGAGACCTACACTGGACAGAATGTTCGCTTCGACGTCACAAAGAAATGATGATGGTTTGCGGGCGTCTTACAATATCTCGTTACTTATAGCAAAATCCGGAAAACCGCATACTATCGGAGAGAAGTTAATTTTGCCAGCCGTTGAAGAGGTTTTACACAAACCTGCATCTGATATCATTAAAAGAATTCCCTTAAGCAACAATACTGTTGAAAGACGTATTGATGAAATGAGTTCTGATATTGAAAGCTTCTTATGTAATTATTTGCAAACGACCCATTTCTCTATACAACTGGACGAGTCAACTTTACCTGATAATGCAGCATTATTATTGGCATATGTTCGTTTTATTATGAATCAAGAAATCTACGAAGAACTGCTCTTCGCAAGAACTTTGATAACCGACACTAAAGGTGAATCAATATTTCATGTTTTGAAGGATTACTTCATTGAAAAAGCAATTCCTTTATCAAATATAATATCAGTAGCTACAGATGGAGCACCTGCCATGGTTGGACGTTATCGTGAATTTATAAGCTATTTAAAACAAAATGTGTTAGGGGTGTTAGCAATACATTGCGTCATCCATCGACAACATTTAGTTGCTAAAAATTTGAGTGTTAGATTGCATGAATCACTTCTTTTAGTCATTGATGCAGTAAACCGAATCCGAAGCAACGCGTTGAATACGCGGTTATTTGCGCAGTTGTGTGAAGAAAATGCCGAACACTTTCATCAATTACTCCTTCACACTAAAGTACGTCATCCATCGACAACACTTAGTTGCTAAAAATTTGAGTTTAGATTGCATGAATCACTTCATTTAGTCATTGATGCAGCAAACCGAATCCGAAGCAACGCGTTGAATACGCGGTTATTTGCGCAGTTGTGTGAAGAAAATGCCGAACACTTTCATCAATTACTCCTTCACACTGAAGTACGCTGGCTGTCGAAACGCTTATGTTTGACAAGATTTTTTGCACTTTTTGAGACTATTTTAGAATTTCTGGATACTAAAGATAAAATTTTAAAAGAAAATTTAACGAAGAGGAAAACAGACATCGCCTATTTAACAGATTTGTTTACAAAATTTAATATGGTTAATTTGCAATTACAAGGCGACAGTTTAAATTTGATTAAAACAAAGTCCATCTTATCAGCGTTTCTTGCAAGAGTTAAACTAATGAAGCAAAATATTGGACAGGGCGAATTTTCTCAGTTCCCCAATTTGTCACAGACAAGCTGCCAGGAAGACGACGTTTCAACTTACGTTCAACATTTAAATGGCCTCTATTCAGATTTTGAATCTAGGTTTGAGGATATTTTGACTAAGGTAATACCACCGTGGATAATTAATCCATATGGTGACATAGAAGAAACGAATGTCATAATACAAGAGGAACTGACTGAACTAAGTACAAACGAAGAACTTAAGGTTCGGTTTAAAAACGGATATCAGCAATTCTAGCTGCAAAACAACATAACCGTTACTTATCCCGTATTATGGAATATAGCGAGAAAATTTTTAATTTCCTTTCCATCGTCATACCTAGTAGAAAGGGGGTTCAGCGCTGTTACCAATCTCCTAACGAAAAAAAGAAACAGACTGGACATCATTAGCCGAGGAGATTTAAGATTTACCCTTACAAAATTGACGCCAAATGTTGATAATTTATTATTAAAGCATCAGGTTCATCCTTCTCACTAAAAATATTGACTTATTGCTTATGTTATTTAATTTATAGTTTATTTTATGTTTATTTCTGTCTGACCAATAAATGCCCGCATTGGGAATAAGTGCCCGCATTGATTTTTTTAAAGGAACCCCCCTTTATAGAAAATATTTTTTTTTTAATTATTCTGAAGATTCAAAGATACACACTAAAATTCGTTAATTTTTTGCCTATTTTTAGATAACTTTAACGTATAAGAAGCGGAATTTAATCAAACTAACAGTGAAATTATTGTAGAACATACGTTTATGTTATAATTAATAAACGAACTCGCTTATTGTACTATTTTAAGAAAAAAACTTTTTGTTATTATTTTTTACTTTTTTTTAATTTCACCCTCCTATTTTTTTTCAATGTGGGCACTTATTCCCAATGCGGGCACTTATTGGTCAGACACCTGTTTATTTAATGTTACGTATATTTTACATAACAGATACAACATTTTATTTTGAGTAGTTTTAATCTAAATTCAATTAATAAATGTATAAATTAACATGTGTTTTTACTTTAAGTTTTTAACACTAAACTTCACTACAGTTAGAAATTTACAGGAAATCAATATCAGGTAAGTAGGGGGTCTACCTATCACGGAAAAACATGGCAAGGGGTCTACGACACAAAAAAGTTTGGGGAACTCTGCTTTAGTCCAATAAGAACTTTTGTTCAGGAAGGCGAGAGATATATCATACTGATTATTTAGGTAAATCGACTGGCACCCATTTTCCATATGTTTTGTATGGAATCCTTTGAACGAAAAAATTATTGTCTATCTGGAAACACCGCATATATTTCAGAGTAATTACGAACAGGGCATGTTTAGACGCCATCAGCTGGTTTTGGTTGCCATGTTTTGGGTTACATTACTTATCTCTCTTTAATCTATTCACCTTATCTGTATTCTCTTTATATAACTACTCTTTTTTGCATATCCATGTAGTGATGACTTAAAAAGGAAAATACGTTACAGTTAACTCCCGAAAATTTGAGCTCATTTTTACTGATGAAAGACAATTGATGTTTGGGATAGTAGATTGGCAACGCTCGAATCTCCTGTGACTGCCCCAAAATGCAGTTTTATCGACGTGCATTTCTGTCCACGGTATGTTTGGTCCGGAAATTTTACTAATTGACATTTTAAACTAGTAACAGCAGCAGCTATAGCAAAACGGTAGGACCGCTGACCGGCTGGCTAGACTAACGAGCGAATGTATAATTAGTAATTACTGTTGGTAATGGCCGCAGGGTCGCAATTCTGGACATTGTAGCACATTTCGGTTTTATTATTCAGATAGGTCGTGGTCAAATTCAGACATCGCTCACCACGCAGAACAGTCTGTGCCGTATTCCACAAAATGGAGGTCTAAGTTAATTGTGATAGCATAGCTGTCTACAGAAAACTGACTTTCGACCTTATTTTGATGACCTGACTTCCCACGCCTACTGGCGAGAAAGTATTGCAGTCATGAAACACTTCGAAAACGCTTTGTAGTTCTTGAAAATCGGCTCAGTTGCAGAAGGGCAAAAACACGAAAAAATAAAAATCGCTCCTGATCATTTTCAGAAAAATGTCTGACGGGGCTGGAAATCGAGGGCTGGGAGTTGTAGGGGATGGGAGTAGGTATATCTCATTTTGTTGGGGCAGTAATATATATATAACCCCAGTGATTTTACGCAGCTATCAGTACATATTTCTCACGTCAAAGACTTCCTCGTACATTTGGCGTTATAAATATTTATAGACGAGGCACGCGGTCGGTCGGGCCGATGTGATCCAATGACGACTTTCATTCGCCGATCCATGCGTTGCGCCTGACAGCATCGTCGGCAAGGATATTACACATATTGTATCGTGGCTGGAGCGTATAAGGTTTTTCACTGATGTGGTCCAGCAGCGTTGCCAGATGGTGGATACTTAGGGCAGGGAAGAAACTAGCGTTAGCGTTATTAAATGTATGAGGACTATGGATTATGTACTAATTGTATATGGGCCTGTTTGGCTTGACCCACACAATTTTTTGTTATACATCTTCGTAGCCAGCTCAAAGGGACTAACTTTGCGTGGGAAGTCTAGAATCAACCTACTTTACATCATTTGCTTGAATTGCGGCATATAAAGCAACGAGTGCTTGTAAGACAAAATCAAACCACCGCCAGTGAGAGACGTTTTTATAAATTATTAGAAATGCATAATTCACAATTTTATTGTTCATTGGATGTACTACTTACAAAACGTGAAGCAATCGTTTCTACATCAGAGTTGCGATGATCCGCTTTGTGGGCGATGTGGCTAAAAGGTGGTGCCCCGCTTCTGCATTCTAGAGCGCTGCAAGACGTTGGGGTATCATAGGCAAACTATACTGGGTTCTACTGTACTGAACCCAGAAGGTATACGATGAGCAAGACCAGACTATACTAACGTTTCTAAAAAGATCAGTCTCGGAAAATAACTACGATGCAACTGTTGTTCGAAATAGATTTTATTACTAATGTTAGGTTAACTAGGTTCTCGCACATAAAAGATCTTGGTGTTCTTGGTGTTACTTTTGACAAAAAACTTACTTTTAGCTTGCATCTAGATTTTATTATGACTTCCAAAGCAAATAGAGCTTTCGCTTTTATTCTCAGAAACTCTAAACATTTCGAGGATGTGTATGCGCTAAAAATTCTCTATAACTCCTTAGTTCATCCTATTCTTGAATAGTTTGGTCTCCTTAGCATCAAAAAAAAAAATATATCACTCAGCTCGAAACCCTACGGAGACGTTTTCTATCTCAAGTACATTTACATTTTAAAACAAATCGCATTTACCCACCAACTCATTTACCACACGTTTGCTTACTGAATGGGCTTTCAGTGTCCGGTTTGCAAGACAGACGTGAACATTTTGGAATCAGATTGCTGAGAAGATTGATGAATGGTACAATCGACTGCACTTCGGTTTTGCAAATGCTCAATTTTTGCATACCTAGGTTAAACTCTCGTCACCGCCTACTGATACTCTGAAGTATTCCCCACTATATTCTGTTTACAATTCATGCAATTCAATGAATATAGATATGTTTTCATCTGCGTAGTTAACTTATACTGTCATTAAACTTAATTTTATTTATTACTTACTTTTTTCTTACGTATTTTTCTCTCTCTATGTTATTACATTTTAATAGTCTTTAACACGTCATCTATTTATTATACGTTCATTATCTAATCCTGCAAAAGGATTTTATCTGTTGGATGATGTATTTATATATCAATATGGTTTCAATAATTAACTGAAAATATCTTGCAGTCAAGGAAGGAAGAAACATGATTCCAATGGATCCGAACGGACTCAGTGACCCATACGTCAAGTTGAAGCTGATACCAGACACTGATGGAGTGAAAAAGAAAACCAAGACTATCAAAGCTAGCTTAAATCCCATCTGGAATGAGACAATCACTTTGTGAGTAGATTACGCTTTTCAATTTCAAGCTATTATTATTATTATCTTGTTCCAAGAGCTGTATGTCATTATATTAAGTATATCAGGGATTCCATGTGAAGCGAGCACCAATGAGATTTTAAAATTCGCTCATATTGGGCCTGTTCTACATCTAGTAAGTATGAAACAGAAAACACGACTTTTGGGGACATGTTTATTTTTTGGAATTCAAAACTATTACATAGGGATATTAAACAAGGCGTTTTGTATAGGAGTTTTTTGTACTTTTTGATAATATAAATCAAATTTGAAATTGAAAACAAATAAGGTGTCAAACCGGAAGTAAACATTTCAAATCAAAATTTCTTATGCCGAAATATAGCCTAAACCCTAAAGTGTGTTTAAAATATACTAGAAGTTTTAAATGGAATGCGCATTTACGAACGAGAGATATTTTTATGTACATAGGTGTCGCTCTGAGTATGACGTTAGGTGCTTGCAGTCATATTAAAAGAAAATACCCCTGGTTTGCGAAATAATTGTAAAGTCTGGTTTTATTGGTGCAAGTTGTTCGAGGGGCTATTCAAAACGTGGACGCATATAATGGATACACCAATTTTTGTGAGAAAACTTTTGAGTCGACAACAAAGAATCAAAAAACGTATTATTTGGGATTCAGGAACGAAAAAACTTTTCATATAAGATTTTAAGGTATTTATGCGACCTACAAAATGAGACCACACGTAAAAAGATCCGACTAATAGCAAAAATGTTATGGCCGAAAACCGAGGCAAACTGCACGTTTTGGCACTGGTAATGCGACGATGGTTTCTCGCAGATATTTGAAATTCTTCAAATCCGTAGGATTCGTACTTCTAAATAACCATAACAAAATTAGAGTATATTGGGCAAGTGTTTTTTGAGAACTTCTAATTGTGTATCCCAAAACACCTGTTTTCCGACCTTCACTACCAGTTTATTGAGCAATATACAGCGTCAGTTCAAAGGGCATTTTATAGCAAAATACACTAGTTTACCTTACCGATATGAATTGCAAGATATTCCGGAAGATAAATGCAAAAAGGGATGGGTTACGTTTTATTTTCTAAACAAACTTAATAATTTCGTATTTATAAGTAAATCGCAACAAACGATGATAGACACTTCCGCTCTGTTTTAAAATGTGTATAGTAACGTATGTTTTTCGAATACCGTAGAAAATATCGTGGCATTACCAACAAGTGGCAAAACCTGCATTTTGCCTCGTTTTTTGCCATAACATTTTTGCTGTTGCTATAACTGTAAGTTTTCTGCATAAAACAATGTAATATTTTTGACTTTCTTTTGGCAATTCCCTATTTCAAGTACAGCTATTCTTTCGAAGCCCGACCTTGGCAAATAAACGTGCCACGAAAAAAAAACGTGTTTTCTCTTTTTTTTAAATGCTCACTTCATATGGAATGCCCCAGAAAGTTACCCGCTTTCTAGAAACTTGCAACCCACAATTACAATTGCGGTTGTAGTGTTTTAGGTAAAATAATAGCAAAAGGGCCGTTGCGGTAATACTCTGTGTAGTACCCGAGCTAATCTCAAATTCACCTTTAGCATGTCTTAAGAATCATCAAGTTTTATGAAGCTGTTTTCAATTTATTTTTATTGACAGCCATACCTCAAGTTTCCCAGTTTGAGATAAAACCAGAACCTGCGGTTTTACCTGTGTCGGTTAATTCAAAACCATAAAACGTCCCATCATGGGGCATATTGTTGATAGGATAATAAAATTTCACGCCATCACTGTTTCACATTTACTGCCAATATTTGCTCCGATATATCAGTGCAAAATTTAATGCTGATACTATAAATGTTATGCATTTATTATATTACATTATAGATGCTATTTATTTTGAATTTATGGTTAACGCCGGAACTGGTAGATAGATAGGGTACATGAAATTTCGATGAATTTATCAAGCTAACTGTAAATTGGACAAAGGTAGGTACTCAAAAAATACAGTACGAGACTGACAACGAATCTATTATCTTATTGCTTAATAGAGGGTTTTAAGATATTTCACAAAGGGGTCCAAGTGGGTCCCTAGCGGTCCACGGGGGACTCAATGGGGGTCTACGCTGGCAACAAACAAAAATGGGGGTTCCCAAGTTGTAAGTGGAAGTTCACGACAATTTATGTCGTTTCCATAGTAAGGAACAAAAATGTTGACAGGTAATGTTTTAAGAAGGCCTACCACTGTCCCTATTAAAAACTGGAATATTCGATGTTCGGTACAAGTTTCCAAACTTGTTACAGTCAGAATATCTTGATGAGGATATTTAAACAGATTTGAGGGTGGAAGTACCATCATGAATCATAAGCCCATTTGATGAAATGGAAGTTTCAAATGTAATATTATAAGACGAGTGACTCAAGCTTAGTACTAAAGAGTAGCTGAAGGTGAAATCTAAAAAAAGAATATCAATCATTTGGCAGCACGTAGAAGTACCCGAAAAATACTTTAGCCACTGGGGAATTGAGGGAAAACTTTAGATAGCGTTTTGATATCCGATTAGAAAAAGAATTTAATGTTGTTATAAATCTATTAACATTAACAAAATCCAGAGGTAACCAATGGGACACCATCTACAAATCACGTCTATAATCTCCAATACTTTTAAAACTAATAATATAACTCCTGAACTTTATCCTGTGGTTTTCATGTTCATAGGACTCTATCGCCTGGCCGAATCACAAGACAAACAACATGGTTCGCTTTAGACTTTAGATGTTGGAGTACTATTTCTCGCATTTCAGATCCATAAACGACACATATGCAGCATATATATTCGAGGATTGCAAAAATTTTTCCAATGTGTTGCGACAATAGTTCTGGTTGGGCTTTCGCGTTTTCAGAAGAGTTTTGGCGATTTTGAAGCGATGGACGAGGGTGACTCGTCCGGTACATTAAAAAACGACAGATAACCTCATGTTCGTTTGTCGCTTTGGACGGCCTTTTGGGAGCGGCAAAAACCTACTACAGGTGATCCTGGGCTTTGCTAGTTTTGCGGCCTGTTATTCTAAAATTGCAATGATGGCTTCGCGTAATCTCAGTATGTTACAGGACCATTCAGACTATTGTAGTAACATACTGAATAGTAATGAGGAAAAGGAAAAAAATATACTGTCACAGTTGTCGATTGTACAACAGTGGTAGTCAAACGTCGTACAATAAACTGATATTCATGCAAATTCATATGTGGTTTTGATGCGGCCAGACAATGGAAACTAATATCTATATATAGTCTTTGAAGTTGAGTCATTAATTTATATAATGATTGTAGAAGGAAGATAAACCAAAATATGTGTGTAAAAATAAAAAAAAATTTAAAAAAGATGTTACCTTGTTTTATAAAGTATCCTCCCGGCAAGTATTTCAGTGCGGACCTGTATTTGATCGTGCGGTCTTGCAGCACCGGCATGCCCTCCCCTGTGAGGTCTTAAGTCACCTGATTCACGAGCCCTTTGTACTACATTAACAATGGCACGAGGGGTTGGTTGCACTCGATTGGGAAACCGATCCGCATAAATCCGTGATGCCGCGGCAGCATTTTGTAAAGACCCCCCCCCCTCGTAAATAAGAATCATGTCCACAAGTTCAGCATTTTCGTAAACATGTGCCATTTTTTATTTCGTTTGAGCCACGCAACAAACACCACTATTCGCTCACGCGTTACCGACTGACACAATGACTGAATACAACTGAATAAAATTGTAGTAAAAACATCGTGATAAGCGTTTCAAATTCTTTCGCTTTTTTGTTTCCGATGCGATGAACCGGTAAGGCGGATTATATCCGTTGTTGCCAAACACGAGCAGCACATAATATTATTATTGAGACAAGGCGGTACTCAAACTTCTAAAGGGCTATAACTTTGTTACTTTAATTTTACCAGAAAAATGTTAAAGGAAAAAAAAATTTCTTTTGATCAGATCTACTCACTGTTAAAATAAATGACTCAACTTCGAAGTCACCCTGTATATATATACTAACTGACTGTGTTTTAGTGAACTAAAACCAGAAGATAAGGACAGACGCCTTTTGATAGAGGTTTGGGACTGGGATCGAACCTCGCGAAATGACTTCATGGGCTCTCTATCGTTCGGAATTTCGGAAATTGTGAAATCACCGGCAGACGGTTGGTTCAAACTGCTAACGCAGGAAGAAGGAGAATTCTACAATGTGCCAGTACCGGAAGAAGGTGTTGATTTGGTTGTGCTTAAGACACAACAGCAAAGAGTAAGTGATGTGGTAAGACTAGATATTAGATACAGGGCCGGTTTTGGGTGCTTTCTTCAGCAGAAGTGTTGTGTGTAGGCTGAAACTGTAAGCCGTATCTGATAGTAGTGGGAAGTTTACCTACATTCCTGAAAAAATTACTCTAATGAAGCTAACCGGTTCCTGGATTGAATCGGTCATTGCAGAAATCTAGTATATCTAGCTTGAATTTTTCAAGAGAGAATTACGTCAATAATTTGAATTAGTTAATAATGGAATAACTGTTATTGAATTACGACGTTTTAGCAGGATATAGGGTTTGTGGTATATGTATAACAAACAAAAGAATTGGCTGTTCCCCAGGGATCGCTCCTGGCTGCATTATTCCTCTTACATATTAACGACCTCTCTACCTAAAGATCAATCCGATCCATAGCTTCGTTGATGACAGCACTCTACAAGAAGGAATTCAAAGCCGATCTTGAGCTAGAGAAAAGAAGACTAGCAGCGACTGACGAAAGCCCTGCAGGTTATCGCGGCTTGGGGCGCAACAATCTGGTACAGTTTAATGCTTCCAAAATACAGTACTGTCCCTTAGCTATCAAGAAGCGCTGTAGCGCTCATCCGGTTTCAATGGATGACCCAGTTCTACCAAAGAGCTGGTCGCCAGATTTGATCTGCTGTGAACACATCTCGTCAATGGCGACATCTGCTGGGAAAAATCTAGGATTTGTGTTTAGAGCTAAAAAGTACTTTTCCTCAAGTAACTTCCTCACCCTGTACAAGGCCCAGATAAGGCCTAGCCTCGAGTACTGCTCTCATACGTTTGGGGTGGTGCCACCCAGGCTACATTATCTATGATCATCGCTATTCAGAGCAGAGCTGTCCGACTGATCGATGACTATTCTCTAACGGACAGTCCCGGAACCCTTTCAGAGGGTATCGTGATTGTGGAACAGTGTATCCGAGGAGGCTTTTCCCAGTATTTTTAGTCTTGGGCAGTTCAAAAGTCAGATAAAGAAAGTTTCTTTAAGCAGCGCCGTTACACTTCTATTTAGGCCTCTTCCTACGCGACTATTTCATTATACAAAAAAAACACTGTTTAAACCTACGCATAACACATCAATGATTGCCGTCAACCGGTCCTGGTAATCTCCATCACATTCTCACTAGTCACTCAAATTCCAGAAAGCCTCAATCACCAAAAAACCATCTCTTCAAATGTCAGACAAGGACGTGCCCCATAACATGGGCAAAAAGGATATAATCAGAGCCAGCGATTTCAATTTCCTCATGGTTCTGGGCAAGGGCTCCTTTGGTAAGGTAATGTTAGCTGAGAGGAAGGGTACCGATGAGTTGTATGCAATTAAGATACTGAAGAAAGATATTATAATTCAGGATGATGATGTGGAATGCACTATGGTGGAGAAAAGAGTACTGGCACTGTCCAGTAAACCGCCGTTTCTGGTACAGTTGCATTCCTGCTTTCAAACTATGGTAAGTTCACGTCAAATAGCTACAATCGGGTTTTTAGGAGGAATGATCCCAGAACCGTTCTGAATTACTGATAGGCAATTTCAATGAGGCTTGAAAACACGAGAATTAGCATCAGCATGTGCCTCTTCTGCTAGATTCAATAGCCTTTTATGTCGATTTAAACGGCAGTGTCATTTTAGGAGACCCACTAAGACCCTTATAGCTATCCTATCAAATCCAAACAGGGCCTCTTTAAATGCATGATGTTTTCGTTTCTTTATAAACTGTTTTGCTTGCCTTTGCCCTAACTGACTATTCCACCATTCTAGGAACTTTTTCTTGGTCCAATTTTTTATGGACCGCTTTATGTCTGCTCTCGTCACGCCACAAAAGAACTCTGGACCTATAAGGTGATTCGCCGCACTTCTCACTTCCTTTGTGCCATCCATGACCTAGTACCAAGAGCAGTGTTAACTTGTTTCGGTTTCCTAACTCTTTAAGAGTGTTCACGCAATTCTCTACTAGCTTAGACGATATCTGCGCCTAACTTGTAATATTTTACCTGAATGGCTCTTTTGTGCAGACTGGTATGGCTAGTATTTCAACCTAAAATGTTGTTGCTATATTACCGAAACTTATAGAGATCTTGTTTTCTTACCTAATCTTGACTCCCACTTTCATATAATAAGCCCTTTATAGAGAGCGAACGTATATGGCAGCCGATCATAATAATAAGAAAATAAAATCGATCGTTAGAAATACTCGTGGGCCTCGGACTACGATAAGGCGTGTAAATTACATAATGAAAAGTGTTTATTTTAATAATCTGACGATTTGAGTGTGACGTGAGGAAGTGGGAGAGAGAGAAACTTTGAAAACAAATCATCTTGTCATTCCTGAGAGCACTCATTTTTGTTTGTTTGTTTCAGATTTATTTAGCATTAATGCTACAATGTCCATAAGATCCATATTACACAGTATATCACAAAAAATATGTCTTCAAGACTGCATATTTTATACAAAATTTCACTACTATGAATTCTGGTTTTTCATGAGATATTTTTTCAATTTCCCTTTGAACATTTTCAAACTGACACACATGTTGATATCATTACTTAATTTATTGAATCCGTACAATCCCTTTTGAAATACTGACTTGCTCGTTATATTGCTACTGCAGTTTTGTATATGAAAGTCTATGCTTTCTCTAGTAGAATAATTGTGCCACTCATTGTTCAATACAATAAAATTTTCTAAGTGATTTGGTAGAAGATGATTTTGTAACTTGAATATGAAAATGAAAACCAAGTATGCTCTGAAATTTTTGATATTTAACCAATGTAGTTCTTTCAGCATAAAATTTATTCTAGTATATTTATTTTAATTTAAAATGATTCTCATAGCTTTATTTTGTAATATTTGTAATTTTGAAAATACAGTTTCATTTGCAGTGAACAAAATAGTCGAACAATATAATAAATGAGGAAGAATGATACTGTTGTACACAATTTTTTTAGAATATCTAAACGCTTAGGCTATGCGAAATTCTATAAAAGTAATTTATTTTCTTGGATATTTTTGAAATAATATATTCATAGTGCCCTTCAAATGTTAATTTACTGCCTATGTATATGCCTAAATATTTAAATGATTCGATTGAGACAATTTTTTCATGATTAGTTGTAAGATTTATCGTCTTTTGATCTAAAGATATTCCTATTAGCATAATTTTTTTTGTTTGGATTAGTTTAAGTTTATTTACATTTAACCAATTTACCAATTTATTACGTTTTTCATATCATTATTTATTGCAGTTTCAATGTCTTTATTTGATCAGGAATATCGTTAATATATAAAATAAATAGTAACGGACCTAATTTGGTACCCTGTGGTACACCCATCGAAATGTTTTTAATGTTAATGATAAAGTATTGGCAATTTTAGTTCTTTGACTTCTATTGATTAAGGTTTATTCCTTTGAATCTTAGGCTTCACACAACTGAAATTTTTGAAATTTTCTATTGCTCGTTTAGCCGTATGTGTGTCCAGTCTCCTTTGGGATAGTTACCCTGTATAAAGTACGCTAATTTTTAATGCTTGGTGCGATAAACTTATAAAAATAGGGGGTTTTGGTTTGAAAAAATCGACTTTCGCAATTTTTTACTTTCAATTTTTATACCAATTTTTTGATCACCCTGTATAAATAATTATCAAAATATCATACAAAGTCTATTGAACTATATCCCTGTTTACCAGGAAATTAATCCACATCAAAGAGTGTTCTACATAGGGGAAATGAACAATTATTTTAGGGCCTGCAAACGTCATTTTTGACATAAAACTTGAAATGTGATTAGAATTATATGTAACATCCGAATATTGAGTAATAAGTTAAAATAAGCAAGTTGGAATCAACTTCCGGTATAAACGGAACGGAAGTGCCACCATCTTGAAAATATTTTAGCTGCCGCTACCCCATCGACATTAGTACACCCCCAAATTTTCAAAAATATCATATGCCTACTTTTCGAGAAATCTATCGATGGAGTTCTTGATGTGACATCCTGTATACAGAAAGAGGTGAAGGTAAAAAAAACATGCAATTTTCTGTTAAAAATTCCTTCAAACTGTACTTGAAGTGATTTCGATTTGCTATAATTGATATTCCTTGTATTTCTTTTGGAAGAGTGTTATAAACTGCAGGGCCAATAATATTTGACGAATTATTACGTACCTTATATTTGGAAAAAATATATAGTATAATATTTGTCTGTCTTGTTGTTATACCATGTATATCTTTATTAAGAACAAATTTGGACTTGTTCTTATGTACATATAAGGCTAAGTCGTGAATTACCAGAGAAGGCAATTTTAAATTTTTTTAGCTGGCGTGTATATCAGAAACACGTGGGGGAATATCAATATCTGACGCACTCGAGTATATCTATGTAACTACATATTTGTTTTTCAAATTTTTGACAACCTGCAGACACTCCCCACTACTTTCTGCTATCTAATTTAGCCTCTCTTCTTGGGCTCCCCTAGTGTTATTTCAGATGTACGGTTATTTTCCAGGACCGTCTCTATTTCGTTATGGAATACGTGAACGGAGGTGATCTGATGTTCCAAATCCAACAGTGTGGCAAGTTTAAGGAACCAGTCGCTGTGTAAGCTCACCAAGCCATTCCTAATGACGGCAGTTGATTCTCTTATTTTTATAGGTTTTACTCGGCTGAAATTGCCATCGGACTGTTCTATCTGCACGCCAGAGGCATCGTTTACAGAGACCTGAAGCTGGACAACGTCCTGCTGGATCAAGATGGACATATCAAAATAGCTGACTTTGGAATGTGCAAGGAAGGGATTACAGGAGAAAAGACTACCAAGACTTTTTGTGGAACACCGGACTATATTGCACCAGAGGTAAACATTTTACCTTCCCACTGCAATCGGCATTGAGATATTGTAATCGAGAAACATTTTCAAATCAGGATTAATTTTTTTGATGTTAGATGACACGTAAATCACGAAAAACTATGTCGTCTGTCTTATAATCCCATAACTCGGAAAATACATAGAAACAAGCTTTGATGTTTTTACAATTCTCTTGTCTACAGACAAAGTTACTGTCATTCCATGGACTCAATTTCAAACTCCCAACCACTGTTTTTCATATTTTTAGAGTTTTTGATGATCCGTAAGCGTAGTCAAATGAATTGGATACAAACCTATCTGCTATCATGCCTCAAGGAATCTTCCAGAAGCCAGTTCGAATCTCATCACAACCAACCTTCCTACTGTATTCTTCCCAAATGTTGACCAAACTTTAAAACAAGGTTTCTATTTTTTGTAAATCGGTTCAGTGGCGGCGAAGCTATGGCCAAAACACGAAAGAAACATAAACCACTCACAATTTTTTGACATTTCAGAGATTCCTCCTCGTTTTTCGAAATCCATTTCAGGGGTAAAACGTTGGGGTGGATGAGGATTTATATATGTTCTGCAAATTTTAGGAGCAGTCAGATTCTTAAGGAGAGGCGTGTCCGGGGAGTTGCATGTGCCTATTTGATTGTGTTGATGGACTGAATTCATGTGTTTATTTATTTATTTATACATAATTGCCCAACAGAACTATTCCAATTAGAGGACAATATAATGGTATCTTTACTTCTAATACATACATATAATGTACACATAAAACTAACTTAAAAAACAGAATTAGCTATTATAATAGTGTCTGAAATTCAACAAGATCTTACTGAAACAATCAAAATTAATGTCAGAACTGTCTGCTATGGAATTATAATTGTTGCATATAGGATGTAGCGGAGAATAAAATAATACATTGGTACGGGGGGTACTGCAGTAGAGTTCTTCTCGTATTTAACCGTGGTATACAGAAATTTATACATGTTTGTAGTTTTGTGAGAACTAATCACAGCGTTACGTGGGAAGTGCAGAGTCAACCCACTTGACGCCATTTTTTCTTTAGCAAGAACGATTCCAGACGGATTTTTCTTGAATAATTCATACCTTTCAGATTATCTTGTACCAACCGTACGGCAAATCAGTAGATTGGTGGGCATATGGGGTACTGCTATACGAAATGTTGATTGGCCAACCTCCTTTTGATGGAGAAGATGAGGAAGAACTGTTTGCTGCCATTACAGATCACAACGTCAGCTATCCAAAAGGTCTTTCCAAAGAGGCTAAAGATGTGTGTAAAGGGGTATGTAGTATTGAATGTATCAGTTACTTCTTACATTTAGATCTGTTGCGGATCTTTTCACCATGACCAAAGTCTAGTTAACCATAATAAGTACAGGCTGGGTAAATAAGCAACTCTCGGTGATATGATCTAGATTATATGTTTTCTCAAAACTTATGTGGTCTTTAGATTTAGGTACCTATCTTTACAGTAGATATTTTTGCAGCTATTAACAAAGAATCCAACGAAGCGACTAGGTTGTGGGCCAAGAGGTGAAGAGGACATAAGGATCCATCCCTTCTTTAGGCGGATCGACTGGGACAAAATTGAAGCCAGAGAAGTTCAGCCGCCATTTAAACCAAAGATTGTAAGTAGATTAGATACAGTCATACTTAAAATCTATTTTTAACTAACCAATTAAGTCTCTCTAGTACCCAGCACGACCTTGAGAATTGTAGAGGAATATGCGTTCTTTAACAACGGAGATTACAAGAATTAGAAATTATGGAATCGAAATTGTTTTTTTCACAAAACCTTTTTTTGGAAAATCTAATATCGGTCCTGTTCATTAAATGATTATGTTCGGCACAAGTTAGTCCCTACAAACATGTATAACAAAAAAATTAAATGGATTAAGTCAACCAAGCAGGCCCATGCAATTAGATCATTCTCCATGGTCCAACTCATTTGATAACGCTAAACAATGGTTCCTTCCCTACTCTAAGTATCGACCATCTAGCAGCGGTGCTGAACCACATTAGTATAGTAAGAGAACCGGCGATACAGTCAAATAAAGTGTATAAATATACTGGTCCCCTGAAACACCAACCCCCGATTTTCAACCCCTACAAAAATGTTTCAATGTCCCTAGAGTGTCGAGATTGTGGAACAATCTACAAGAGGAGTCTTTTCACAGTTCTACTAACCTTGGGCAGTTCAAAAATCGGATTAACCCCTTAAGTGGCTCTAGCTGCTTTCAGCCATGACTTATCAGGTGGCACGACATTTTACCGCTTGCGTACAATCCGTCTTTGCCACTGATAATAGAAGCGCATGCGTACATATTCGTCAAAGTCACGTGAATTGGGTTACTTTAAATAAAATGCGTACATATACGGGAAAGCAACCATGCTTGTCTTTAAACAAGTAATGTACATAAAATTACTTGAAACTTATTTATTTAAAAACAAAATACAGCCGATAAATAGTAGAAAATATTATTCTTTCGTATGGTATATTTCAAAACAAGGTGCAGGACATAGACCAGTACGACACTCTAGGCACCAATAACGACTATCTTTTCGCTGCTTTCTTTCACATACAACGCATCTGAAGTAAAGAAAAACGCAATAAGGCAAACGTAGGGTGATAATTTTTTGACTTACCTTTTGGTCGGTTTTGCTTTTGTTGTTGGTTGTACTATCGATGGAAAATGCCTTTGTCAATCTTGTGGGCATTGACCATCTTTTTTTTATTTGTAAGGGTTTGCTGTATTTCTCCACTATCTTCTCACCCTGCTCCAGTAAAAAGTCTTTTTAGTTTTCCGATAAACGTCTTCATGTACCATTTTTTAACTCTAGTACGAGCAATTCCATAAAAGTGAAGGTAATTGTCAGATAAATCAACACCACCCATGCTGGCATTGTAATCGATTTTGCAAGATGGCTTTTCAATGTCCCCACACCTTGCTGCAATTGTTTTCATGCTGTCATCGTGGACTGTGCTTATCATAAGGACGTCTTTCTTGTCGCGCCATTTCTGAATCATGAGTTTTCTTCTAAAACGTGTTACAATTTCTCCTCTCTGTAATTTTACGTTAAATTCCCGTGGTATTCCTTTTCTATTTATTATCATTGTCCCAACGCTATCCCTCCTTCTTTTTACTAGTTTGTCGCGCAGGTCTATGCTTGTATAATAATTATTTAAAAAGAGGCGGTATAGTTTATCTAAAAGATAGTGAATCAATGTCAACACTACCCTCGAAGTAAGTGGTTCATTTATATACAAACATTGTATTCAGTTCCTGCGCCATTATAAACTAAAACGTTGTACATGTAACCACTGCGGCTTTCACATAAGGCAAAAACTTTCATGCCAACTCGTTTCCTTTTCGAGGGTATGTACTGTTTCTAAGCAAGTCTGCCTTTCCACCCTATCAAGGACTCAACTATGGCTATGTTTTGTTCTGCTACAAGCTGACATATACTTTTTTTTCAACAAATCCAAAACTGGTAAAACTTTGATCAATTTTCGGGTTTTTTTTATGTGGATTTGTAGTAGAATTAGCTACAAAGTGTAACTTTAGCAACAAATGAAATCGTCTCTCATCAATAACTTTAGAGAAAAAAGGAGTCTCGATGCTCTCTCGTTGTATTCTTGGCGAATATATCTGTCATAATCAACCTCTATAAAAAATATAATGTTTTAGATAGAAATATTTAGGGATACTGGAGAGCTTTAATGTATAAATAAACAGTTTAAATTATTATTCCTCAGATAGGACGGACTTGAGTTTACAAAATAGCAAACAATTTTTTGTATTTTCAGAAACATCGGAAGGACGTGAGCAACTTTGACAAGCAGTTCACGTCAGAAAAGACGGATCTCACGCCGACTGATAAGCTATTCATGATGAACTTGGATCAAACGGAGTTTATGGGCTTCTCATTCCTTAATCCGGAATTTGTACAGCACGTGTAAAGCGAGTCTTGCCAAGTCAATGGAAAATCGTTCTCCATTTGCAATTCGGTCAAATGACGAATCTTGTTGTTCGACTTTTAATAATATTTACATATCTTCAAGAAAAGATCTTTGATTATAATATGGGTCTGTTTCACCAAATTGAAGTATCCATTTTGTATATTACAAACTTATGTACTCACAACGTTCTTTTTTTTTGGAATGTGGTTTGGTGTTAGAATCATATACTCAATACATTAGAAAACGCAGTTTTTCTATAGATTGTTATTTTTCCCTTGAATCATGAAGTATGCTGGACAAAGTGGTGTAGACTAATCTATATAAAGGGTGTTCAATAAGTACCACGACAAACTTGAGGAGAAGGTAGGCTATGGACTGGCCTCCCAAATAACAAAAACTTACCTATATAAAAGTGTAACCGTTTTTGAGATATTGAATTTTTTCTTAAATTTAAAAAAAAAACGAACCTTTTCATCTGTGGTCTTTAGCTGCATGTACAAATGAGGTTATACTTTGTTCATTTTTTATATAAAATACTTCTAGATAGTTATCATATAGTTATCATATACAAATGCAATGTAGTTAAAAGATGTTAAGGAACCATGATCAAATAAGGACTGTTTTGGGATTTTTAACCTTCTGATATTTTTTCCTCAACTTCGACCGTCTGTGGTGAAACAAAAATGTACTGTGCTATAACTGCATTATATTGAATAAAAAGATTGCTCATTGAATACAGATTTCAGAAAGGCACCACACCTACTATTTGGAATAGAAAAAAGTGATAGCTGCTTTTGTAAGTGACTGACACACACTAAAATGTAATTATTGGATTTAAATTCAAGTTGCACTGGTTAACGATCAGTGACATGCTAAATAGTACAAAGCTTCATTATTATTACCTGCTGCTGATATGATTTTATGTAATTTACTGAACGTCGGACTTGAGTCAGTAACTATACAAAAGAATTATTTTTGTAAAAGACGGGTTAGCGTGAAATAAAGCACAAATTGTTTGTGGAAGAAATTTATTCATTTATTGACAAAATGTGCTCAAATTGGCGACCTCCTATTCTAATACAAACTTGGCATCTCTTAAGAAAACACGCTTTTAGAGTTCTTAGATTCAATTGGGCTATCTCAGCAGAAGCTTGATGCATTTGTTCTCGCAAATGTTCTTCGTTTTGAACTGGTTTTGAATAAATTTTATCCTTAAAACAGCCCCAGTAGAAGAAATCTAATAGATTCAAGGAATGCAGTTATATATATTATGTTTCATCACAGATGGTCAAAGTTGAGGAAACAATATCAGAAGGTTATACATCCCAAAACAGTCCTTATTTGTATCATGGTTCCTACTTAAGTTTGTCGTGGTACTTATTAGACACCCTGTGTGTAATCTAAAGACAGAAAGCTGTGTTTTCTATTAAGTTACGATATTGCGTGAATTTTAGGACGACTTTTTCTTCCTAAAAGCTACTGTACGAGTAGTAATTATAAAATCAGGACTATATAATTTAAAGGTTAATGTTACTTCTTGCCATCTACCACACATTTGCAGTAAACAAAATCTAGGTATGTAAGAGGTGGAATTTCTTGGAACAAATAACTTGATGATGTGGTAAAATAATTCCTATGTTTGTAGTTCGGTATATTTTGAACTGCGTGCCGTAGGACGAAGTAAAAATTTCAGTCAATTTTTCCAAGATCTGTGCCATGCTGTTTTATATATGTTTCTTTGTCTTGTAAGGAAATAGCTAACATTTGCGAACATATAACTACTTTGCATATGCCTTGTATGCTTATATTTTAGAAACAGTTCCATAGTTAGACGTCACCAGTTATAAGGTAAATGGTCAAAGAAAAAGAAAAGAATTTTATAGTTGCCTATCTATTTTATGCTGTAACCTCTTTCTTCTAATCTAAAAGCAACCATTTATTCCTACAAAATGGGTAGGAAGATCTGCGTTATTCGCTATTAGTACTAGAAATGGTGCTCATTTTTCGCTATTGTTTATATGTTTGTATTGCTATCTACTTTCACCAAGACAACCTGAAAGATCAGATCTTCGGCTACAAAATACTTGTAAATATTCTATATAAGTGTTTGTTATTATACAATTATTGAAAACATTCCAGTTATATCGACTCTTAGTGTTCTATTATAATACGTTATATAAATTTGGAAAATAACATTCCTTATATTAGATTCTACATAATATAATACTCCATCGTATTGGCCGAATTGCATATCGGAGAAGTGTACAGAATTTCTAATTGGATTTCTAGAGACTTCGTTGGAACTATTTTCGAAAACTGTTGCACCTACCAATCAGTCAAAGGATGCCATGGGTTCGCAAGAACCTGACCCAGTGCAACTTGGATTCAACAATGTTTTACACAAAAACCTGATTTGTTTGTCACAGATAAGCTTTTTTTAAATGTTTTGATCGTTCTAAACAAACAAGATTCTTGATAACTTTGCTCTGGAGTTAAACATCTTCAAGTTGTAACAGATTTAAAGTCTAAGAATGGCCACTTTCAATACTTAACAAGACCCCAAATAGTATTTTGAGCTTAGATTATTTTAAAGCATTGTTATCTAGTTTTTAACAATATGCTATGGGCAATCGACAAATGCAACTAAAAAAACAGAATGACCACAATTCAAGCATATACAGGGTGTTTCAGAACTATGGGACTAAACTTCTACGGGTTATTCAGTGTAACTGTAAATCGGTGTATTCAGGTTGGAGGAAGACATTTTGCACAGTTGTTGATGATATCATGTACAAAAGACAAAAATTAAATGCATTAATTCCTATCTAGGCAATTCATCGTCTTTCTAGATTTTAACGCGTCGTAGAGCCGTAGTGCCGTAGTGACACTTTGCCGGATATGGGTCCCTATACTCAAATGTTTTCTACTGTAACACTGAATAACTCCTACAAGTTTGATACCATAGTTCTGAAACACCCTGCATACTTGAGCCTTAATTCAGACTCTTGAAAATAGCTGTTCAGAATATTTTTTATCCATTGATTGGTGTGAAGGTGTGTACAGTAATCTTATTCACGTTTTCTTCCGATTTTTAATAAGGGAAGTACTCATTAACATCTGTTGATATTTTAAATTAGAATCTCTTTAAAAAATGAAATAATATTGGGACCTACCTATATTTAATGTAGCTCATGGTTAAATGAAAAAATGGTAAACTTACTTTTTATATAGACTCGTAAACTGAAGAAACTTAAGTGAGATATTAAATTAAGCAATAACTGTTAGGTAAATTAATGAAAATAAATAATTGTTACTATAAATTGTCTAAGTATCGCAGAGTTATTCTCAACAATGCTTTTTTTGTTGTGTTGAAATAACCAAGTTGACTCAATCGGATCACTACATGCACAGTACTTTTTAACCCTCTTCCTATTTTTGAAGGGGGTAAGTTTAGCAAAAATGAAATTTTGTGTAATGGAACTAATGCGTGAATACTATATTTTAGTGTATATATAAGTGGCATTTTATAATTCTTAAAAAAAGGAATGGAGGGTCGCGCAAACTTCATTGTGAAGCTGCTTAATCCTGGCATATAAACCAAAATAACGGGTCATTATTGTATTCTTGGAAGAGTCTATGTCAATATGTAATAAAATACGTAATATTCCACTTAAGAAAATTGTCAAAACCTGTCGTTCATTTTTAAGCCAGTTGTTTCATACATTATTGAATATTCTGAAGAAACGTCCAAAAGAAGAATATTGACACAACGTGGTATAATATGCCTAAAAAAAACAGCCCATAAGGAGCTTCAACGACGTCCCATTCCGTTTAAAAAATGTGATCAAATCTTCACTTCCATCTTGAAACTTTCAATTGTTGAACTTAGCACATTATGCATTGAGTGATCCTTGGTTGCATTTTTTGACCAAAACATAAAATGATAAGTGGCCCAGCTCTTATTGTTTTTTGTATTGGTGTTAAACGTTGATGCTAAAATATGATAGATGTTACTGAGCTGAACCAGAGGTAATGTGATTTTACATACTTTTAAGGATAATTTTACGTAAAGTTGGTAATGTATAAAACACTTCTAAGTTCTATTCTGTATCTTAAACAGATGCATTCAAATATACGGCTCGATCGTGCTTGGAATATCTAGAACTGACCTGTATGACCACTCCTTCATTTCTAGGTTGTGATGAATGTATAACGATCTACTAAAAGGAAGCTTTTCCGATTCTATTAATCTGAATCCGTTCAAAACTCGAACCAACATTCTTCTATAGCAGTTCCGGTACTCTGATATTTAGGCATTGCGTTTGATACTGCTTGAGTAAAAAGATGGAAGGTTCTAGCTCCATCTATGAAACGTTCAGAACATATGCATTTCATTCATTTATCCCAAAATTTATTTTTATTTTATTACTTGCTCCAAAATACATATGTTCGGAAATATTTAAATGCACCATAACCTTATTCAAAGTACTGTAATGCGTCTGTTTGAGTGACCTGTGAATCTTTCATAACTTCGATAATCATGATTTAATATCAATGTTAATGTTGCTACTATCTTGAAAATCTATAATAAGTATTTTGATACTTGCTAGTGTTAGTAGAGCTAGCCTTTCTTCAAGTGATTATTTACTAAGTGCCAATCACGTTTCGCAATGTTTCGTTGATCGAAACATTAACTAGTCAAACTGTAACTTTTGTGAATCTATCGTGCATTAGTATATTGTTTCATATTAGAACTATTGATGTAAAAAAATTGACAAAAACTCTTTTGAATCAACTGAAAATTAGGCAGAAAAATTCCCGTATGATAAAGGTTCAGATTGAATCGGTTATGACACGCCGCAATAATATAAATTGGGTTTTTGAAATGACTGATTCAATAGACGTTTCATTTTCAGATTCTTGGAAATGTCATTTATGAAATTGGGAACTAATTGATATAATCAGCCGACAGTGCTGGGGAGGAAGTTTTTTCTCATGTTTTGTAAATTTTTCTGTCAAGCGTGATTATTGAATTTAATTGGACTATCACCTAGATAAGAGCGTAGATTTTAGATCAATTTAAAAATGAGATGTGAGGCTACACTACTGTGATTTCGAGTACGAGGACCTAGATGTAGAATGACGACGTAGGATTTCTTCCAAACAATATGTATCAGAAGTTTTCTGGAGAGTGCTTATTAGTATCAAATTTTTAACCTAGACCACTGATGGGCGTTTACGCGTATACTTTAATTGAATAGGCTTCGAAGTAGACAATGCGGAGGCAAATAATGTAAACAATACGTATACAATCGTGTAGACAATGTAGACAATAGCTTAAGTGGGGTTAGCTTTACTCAAAACATTATTGAACCGGCAACTATAAAAATAAAATGATGAAATGCACTAAAAGTAAGGAAATTGATGAACTAGGATTTATTTTTTTCAAGCAATGAGAAGGCATCTAATGGAATGGCCGATTTCTTGTAAAATGTACCTAAAACTTTAAATCAAGAAATACGTCATAAATCACTTGGTTTAGCTACAGAAAGCTATTTTTCAAGAGCGTCGTGTCACTAAATTAGCGGCATTGTCATAAAATGCACCAATGAAAGCATTTGCAAGCAATTAAATGGGCATTTATTGAAAATAATATCTCTCAATTGCTGTGAAAAATTCTGCTTGATATTTTTTTATTTCTTTATCATCGAGTAAGTATTCAATTTACCTGAATACCGTATGAAAAAAATCCAGGGAATAAGAATTCTGTAATTATGTTTATCTTCAAAGAATTTATTTAGCAGAGTTTTGTACAGCAACAGCGAGACACTGTTATTTTCAATAAAATGCTCAGCAATTGCCCCTTCTTTTTGATTGTTGGAATTTGATTCAACTTGTGTATCTATACACAAATGGAAAATAGGTATTTGTAGCTAAATCATGTGATATATGAAGCGCTTCTTGTTTTAGTATGAGAATTAGGAGCCCATTTTACACAAATCGTATAATTTGTCTCCAGCTTAAGAAACATTTTACAAGAAATCGACCACATTCATTAGATCCATTACTTCAAAAACGCACAGGTAAGTCAACTTTTGTCGTATCGAAACTAATATTGCGGTTATCGATGCCCTATTTTACCAATTTCGAATTGCCTAATATAAGCACAAATCAAATCAGAAATTATATTAAGAAGAAGTAGTAAGAAAGCATGTGAATGTCGTCAAGGCTGACCGATAACGGCCTTGCCAATCTAAATATTAACGATGCTGACGACGCTGGATGAAATCTGTCAAATGGGTGGATTTTGTTTTCAGAATGCATTTTATTTCGTTTTAGAAACGTTCCAAATTTATTTGAAACTATAACTTTGTAATGATAAATATCTATATTTATACATGTTCTATTATTCAAAGATCACCCTTACAGGCGCATCATACATTCCCATACAATATAATTTCAAATAAAAAAGACTTGTTAGTGCATCATACACGATCACATTTCACCATCAACGCAAAACCTTTTTTAGGCAGCTATGAACGAAAATATGAAATATATAAACATATTGTTGTGAAGTCGTTAACGAGAGCGGTTGGCATAGCGGTCTTCAACTACTTGTTGGAAAAAAAGGCTAATGCACTGGACTATTATGGAGGTGGGAACCTTGTCTTGGTATGCACAAGATGCGTTGTTGTCAAGCGAACCCATGATGTAATCCTTGGTTATAAGATTCTGAATGTTTTTCTCTTTTACCACTGAACTTGAAGAGTCTTCACCAGAAATTATAATTTAATATTCAATTAAATACACACGAGCTTTGATTTCCTTCTTGCTCGTCCGGTCAGGCGGTAATGACGGTCTTTGCCTGTTGTATGCACAAATACCAATATAGGGGAAGCAGAATGAGTGATGTGCGTACGTAATTGTAGGCAACTCAAATCTAAGAGCCTAGTGTACCCGACTGCCTAAGTGTACGCTTATGTATGACTGATATGGAGCATAAAACTGGACTATGACTATTATTTTTTTGCTTTATTTTTTATTTAAATCTCTTTTTCGGTAAAAAATCTGGAACCATCTGAGTTATTCTAAAAAATCGTGGAAAATTTGCAAGTTTTCAGTATTTCGGTAAACACGGTCTTATTCCGGTAGAAATATCGAAAAATCGGTAGGTTCCGCAACACTGCCAAAATCGCTCATCTATGATCTATGAAGGTGGAAGCCTTGCCTTGGAATGTACGAGTGAGGTGTTGCTAACCAATGATCCTGACCTTTCATTTCGACCTAAAGTGGAGCGCCGTTAGGTCCGATCTGGAATCGAACCTAAACAGATTCGACGCAATTCACTATTCAAAAATGTGTTCGCTCAAAGTAAATCTATTATTTGGGTGTAGAAAATAACCTAAAGCATAGTTTCAACATATATCATAAGTCAAGGAACTGTTGTAACATATTTTGGCAACGCGACAGATTGGGACGACCTTCTGCATCAGCGTTGCTAGGCAATGTGGTGATGAGCTTGGCTGGTCAGTCCGATTATATCTCTTTGTGTGCTTTTATACACTTCTCGCGCTACTTTCTCGTACACATTGAACTCAAGCCATCAGACAAATTTGGTTTCCCCCGTATATGCAGGCGACCTAATTGAACTATTTTTTGCTATTGTATACATTGTTTACATGCATATCCAGACGTATACAATTACGGTGTATTTTACACCATGTTTACAATGCGCCCATCGCTGCCTAGGACAGGCTAAATAGAATCATAGAAGCGAAATATACATTTGTATAAAAGCCAAATAGTACTTACCTACAGCAATTTGTAATACTGCGTTCAATTTACAGCTTTCTAGTGCCATCACTACACAGTACTTTTTGTAATTTTGGCCAAAGCAGGAATGCAACAAAATAACTTAATCACATTTCAAAAATATTTCGTAGTCAAATTATGTAATGTCCTGAAGTTTTACAGTGCGGTATAACCTCTATCAATTTCAGAACGCATATGATTATGATACCCAATTTCTTCGGACACGATTGGTATTTTCAAGCAAATTTCGAGTTTTAAGTTTTAAAAACTTATCTCTCAAAATATACATACAAAAATTTCGTAAGTTCTAAGGACATGCTAGATTTTTCTAAAATTCGTAAACCGGTTGCATATAAGGACACAGTAATATTGAAAAGTTCTTGTACCACCTAAAATGATTAGAAAACATTTTTTACTAGACTTGGTCCTATTGTCTGATAACTGTATACAAAGTCCAACCAAACCGTTAGTTGTTGAGTTATCAAGTATAGTAACATCAGTATTATATTTGTCAAATGTAGGCGAATAAAAATAAAGTGAGAGAAGAAGGTAATTTAAAAGCTGTACAATCAAGTATTTCAGTAATTTAAGAAACGCACTTTTGAGATTTAGCAGCATCAATGTCGCAAGTAAGCTCCTCTAAAAGGTGTTACTGAATGATAGTCCATAACTACAAAGGCGCATTCCTGAGTCAAATTTAATTAGGGATGTTCTTAAAAACATGTGCACTAAAAAGTCTTGTTTCCAAGATACAGGGTGTCAAAGTTTAGCATCTTTTTTTGTTTTTTATTAGCATCTCAAAAATCTTTGATATTGTTGAATTTAGATATTGTTGTTCATTATAATAAGGCGCAAAGTTAGCGCTAACTATGATTATGAATTCCAGTGGCGTCTGGGGGATACTCTCCCGAATGATACTGCCCCAAAAAAATCAATGGCTTTCAAATAGTATATATTTTTCTCGAATTAAATGCAACGATACAAATTTTTTGCATCTCGGAATCTCTTCGAATCCAATTTCGTGTTTGGTGAAAAATAAAATCAATTTAGTCCGAGTACTGTGCAATGTTTTCATTGACAAATCATTTTTTTAAATCTAAGAAACGAATAGTAACAACATTTTGACAAAATATTAACAAAAATGCTGAAAATGACCACCTCTCACTGGAGGTATTTTTCGATGTGTAATGAACTTGTTTTATATTTTTGCCCTCGAAAACGAAGTAAGAAAGAAAGAGATATCCAGAGACAAGAGATAAGTTGTACCGTTAGAGGCTAAATCTGAAAAAAAACGTTTATTTTTTAAAAAGTCAGTGACGCACATTTTTTAGTCAATATTATTCGTGTGACCAAATTTTTTATAGAACTTTGACACCCTGTATTGTGAAAACCTGACTTTACATTCCACATGTTCATATGAACTTTTCTACTTAAATTTGGTCCAGGAATGCGCCCTTGTTATTACGGCCTATCATTAAGAATAACCATATACATATAATTGTAAAATACGATTTTGAAAAGATATATTTACAATTAGGATAGTTAAATATAGTAATCCAGTCTATTCCATATAACATCTACAAAACATTAGAGATGAGCCGGCATCGTTAGTCGTGGACTACTTTTACTTACCACACCTTTTTGTTGAGTCTTAACCAGCTTCTCTATAGATATCTTGCTGATTGATTATAGATGATTTAGTCCATTACAAATCAAGTAGTCTTTGACATGCCAGTTGTCAATTTGCATTGATAAATAGAAAACTATAATGTCTCTTTTTTAGATCCTCCTACAGTAAACTATCCTCTTTTGTTCGATAACATTTTTCTTAACGTCATATAAATCCTATTTTTATAAACAATAAAATAATGCGTTTCATTCTAATGTGCAATAAAATATTTATTGATATTGTAGTATTACATACATAAATATTGCATCCCCCATTATAGAAAAATATTTGTTAGCGAATGTTCGTTTTTCTACCTCACACATTTCATCATTGATTCAAATCTACAGGTTGCGTCAGAATAAGATTGCAATTTCTTGAATAGATATACAATATTAATAAATAATAGCATAGTGTCTATGAAATATGTTCTATGGTGGCTCCCCTATGGAAATAAGGACACACTGGTAATCGGTTTTTCTTGATTAACTCCTAAATGACACTGTAGAATTCCACGAAATTTTGGCAAATGGTACCGAATTCGAGCCTCTTATAATGGTGTCTATAGTAGAGAATCAATCCATTTAGATCATTTGGCTCGGACTATCCCTAACGGCCCACGTACACGTAATCCGTTATCGGCCGAACAACAAGAATGCTCGACCGTTAGCCGCCGATAAAATCAAACTTATGTAAAATAAAGAGAGAGCGAATACACCACTACAACCGTCGTCGGCCGATGACGGTCGGCAAAGGCTGATAACCAGCAACGTCCGAACTTGTCAGGATTTCTCGGCAGCAATTACAGATGAATGAGCGGCTTAAGTATGAATATAGAAAAATAATTGGTTGTGTTTATAATAGGCCGCCGCTGTGGGACAAAAGCTCAAAAAGTTACAATAATCGAGATATTGTAAAACGGCTATTAGCTGAAGTTGCATTGGAAATGGATATAACGGTTGCAGGAGTAAAAAAAATTGAGCAACTTAACAGACCAATTTCGCAAAGAATATAACAGAAGTAATGAGCCAGGTGGGCATATTGCATTTCGTTATTTTTGGCGAAACAAAACGGCCCGAATCCTTTGACCGGTAATGTGCCTGAACCCAGCCCAGAGATTCCAGATGATTCGAAATCATCGCAGTGTTCTGATTTCGAGTTGTCATCTAAATCACAGCCAGAACTAGTACCGCAGCCTGGACCCTCTCCTTCATTGCAACCAGGAAAAACATATCTTCACTCTGTTAATCTGCATTCAACAATGACGGCCGCCCTTGCAACGTCCTATGACGGCAGTAGTGTATACAGACCAACATCCAAGACAGTCGTCCAAACTGCTACGGTCCGATATCGGCTGATAAATCGTTTTGGTGTACGCGTACCCTAACCATTGATTAATGTTATCTACCTGAAGCTAGCCAAACACTCCGGCAATCTAAAATGGATCTCAAATATCCTAACGCAATCTGTCAGACCGTAGCAGAACACAAAAATGAATAAGAAGAAAGAAGCGGGTAAGAATTTTCATTACAAAATAATTTAAGAAATATTTTTTTAAGCTTTTGTCCTTTAAAATCCAATATCTGCGTAGGGAAATTCGCTATAACATTCTGTTATGGTAACTCGTGGCGGAAATTTTTGGCGTTTTATATATGCATTCGAGAAATTACAATCCTATTCTTGGATACCCTGTACCGTTATATGTTTGCCAAAAAGGTATGTGCGCGTTTCCAAATTTCATATCAAGCCACCTTCCCGAGCAGTTTTAAAAAATATTTTTGTAAATGCAGTCTGTACAAACGTCTACACAAAAACACTTTATCAAGGTACTTTTGGCTCTCTAACTTTAAGATATGATGAAATGTGTACTGCATGTGACATTCTAGTCTTCAATAGTTATATATATATATAAATTCTCTCTAGTCTCGAATCTTGAATACAATTATATTGTGGTCTAAGTGATCTTTTTATATAATCTTTTAATTATTATTGTCAGCATCTGGTATATATTATTACTATTGTTGTCATCAAATATTTATTGACTTCTCTAGAATAAAAATTAAGTTGAGAAAAGGCTATTATTTCCTTTTACGTTTCGGGAAGAATACAGGGCATCACGTTTTTACTTCCCACGCCTACTAGCGAAGAAGCATACCTAATCGCGAAAAATTTCGAAAATCAGACAGTACCTATGATTTTTTGATGTTATCACGAAATGTGTAATGTACATCACGAAAAAACATTTCACCTTTTTCTGTTGGTCTATCTGTCCGCTAATCCTTGGCCCATCTATAATTTTCTCAATTTTCTCTTAAAAATCCCCAAAATTGTCCATAACAAAATAGTGCTTAAAACAGGTTACAAGGGTTATTCCTTCAGTCGTGGCTCCCGCAGGGTTATTATCTTAAAAAACCTAATGTCAAAAAAAACGATAAAATTTCAACTTGTTGACGAGGTAGGCTAGTGTGCAAATAGTTCATTTCGCCTTGCTACAAGTAAGCATGAAGTAAATGAGATCTAATTCCAAGTTAACGTCTTGTGGGGAAACCTTCAAAGTAAAGAAGTCTTACTTTGTCACCCAATATACACAATATCATCATTTCATAATGTTATAGAATATGTACAGAATCGAATATATCGATTGTGCTTCAAAATAGCAGGTTATTCTGTATTCATTCTTGCTTACAATGCTATATATTTATTTTGTCATATGAATTGTTAAACTTCATGTGAAAGCCATTGAAAAACTACAATATGAATACCTATCAACAGAAACTCACCAAAATGCTCTGTATTTCGTACAGTTGTAGGTTATATCAACTTGTAACCAAATGTTCCTTGAAAACTGCGATGGCAATCTTCTTCCTATTACTAAAATCACTCAAGAATGCTTTGTCTACGCATCACCGGTCGAATATATTGATAATAATCAGTAATTCCTGATCAAATATTGAAACCGTACTAACCCGTTTGTAAAAATGGAAACCGAACTTGCCAACCACTGAGCGCCAATGAAAATTAACGGTTGAAAACAATTGACTGGAGTGATACTTCCAGATGAGTTCAAACGGGGCAACGAAAATATCGAATATAGCCTTTCTCCGAAGATTTGAAATTTGGAATCATACGTATGTGTATATATGTGTCCTCAAATAATTGAGGTTATATCAGGATTCAAAAGAAAAACAAGGATAAAAGCTGCAGCTGCAGGTGTCACTGGGCGCTTATAGCCTTCTTATTGATCGAGTAGCCTTTAAAGTAACAGCGATTTTTAGCGATTTGTTTTGTTATTCAAAAATTTGCGAGCTTTTGGTTTTCGCAGACTACATACAAACACTCACTTTGTCATTTACAATAAAAAAAATACAGCAAATACACGATACAAATGCCATATCGCTGTATCGTCAGTCGTTCCTACAATTATTGTAGGACGCCTTTATGTCCTCCATGATTTTTTCATGTCCTTCAGAAAGGCAGGGGTATTCCTGATTTCTAATGCTTCGTGTCAGCCCTCTATTTTGAGGATATATTCATAGACTTTTTATCATATGCTTTATCAGCAGATATTTCTTGAGATTCAAAAAGACAACATAACCTCACAATACGAGAGCGCTGACGCTGACTTGAAACAGTAGAAATCTAAAAATACCCCAGTCTCTCGAATCGGGTGATAGCTTGCTTGAAATGCCTTTCGAAGTCCTTTATTTTGACGTTCGATTTTTCAAAATCAGTCGATTCGTTTTTGAGAAAATTAGAAAAATCATTTATCTTAAGGTGCGTTTAGATCTGAGCACGCACGCACTGATCCACCGCGAATGCTCAAGTGAACGGTTATGCGCGCACGCTCACCGCTCACCCTGTGACTTAATGTGCGCGAGCAACAGCGAACGCGATCCGCCTGGTGTCGGTCTCAAGACGTTGCTCAAAGGAACTAATGGGTTACCTAATATTCAGTGTGGACGGAAACGACAACGCAGCGCACAGGATTGAATATTGGATTTTACTTATTCTAAGAAATTATGGAATGCGATAATACTAAAGTTTTAAAACTCATGCAAGATAAATTACTGGTACCGAGGGACGTTAGGCAAGAACTAGAACTCAATTGTAGCCACAACTGTAGCATTGAAAATTTAAACTGTTATAAAGCACAAAAAAAATTAAAAATCTGATAGGATCATTTCATCGCGAAGAAAGCAAAATAAATATTTTGACACTGAAAAGATACTGCAAGCTGATGTAGAACTCTCCAGTTGCCAAAAAACGCAAGGTGATGACTAAAAAAGTTCTCTTGGTGATATAGATTTTCGAAACTGCGTATCATTTTCCATTATCGTTGGTGTTACCAGGTATTCAAACTCATTCTTGTAAAATTTCTGAATTGATCATACAGACTGTCTGATACTATTCCTTTAATAAATTATTTTTTGCATAGAAATTCGGTTATCCACCAACGACGACATCTACATTCCCGATTTTCTTTTCTTTTAATCAAATTATACAGTATAATAAATGCTGTTGCGGCTATATCTCTCTTCCCCATGTTAACATCATACGCGATCGATTGAATCAGCCCATACGTTAAAAAATGAATTTTGCGCGTATGCTCAGTGCGTGCGTGCTCATATGTAAACGCACCTTTAATATGTTCAGATAGAAAACAAAATCACCCGAAAATATCACTTTTTATTTTAATAAGAGTTCAAAATGTTGTCCGTTAGGGTTTGCCAAATCTATAATTCGTTTATAATTTAAAACGGAGGCTACCAACAGAAACAGCAATTCGGAAGATTAGACGTGGCAACAACCAAATAGCAACCCGAATTTTTTTCGCATTCAACACAGATATCCTGGGCGAACTTTATTTGTTGCTTAGGGAAATAAATAATTTAATTTGCTGTCAGATACCTTTGTGACAATCTTGGGATAGTTAAAATGATTTTATTGATTCAGATTTCACTTCCAAAATGGTCACACTAGCCGAAAGAGTGGAAATGATTCTAATATATGGTGCCCAAAATCAATGTTCTCGGCAAACTGCAGTCACGTTTAACGCCAGACATCCGGGGAAGATAACTTTGCCTAGATATGATTTGGATCTTGTTACTAAATTTTACTCAAACTGGATCTGTTGCAAATAAAAAACGTGATCGGAGAGTTTTTGATGAAGCAGCTCAAGTTGAAGTATTGGGTCAAATGGAGTAAATCCTAATACTTCATTACGCAAAACTGTTGCTGCGACTGGTATTTCATTAGGCTCTGTACACACAGTTACTAAACTCCATAAATTTCATCCATTCAAAATGTGGATATTGCAAGACTTAACCCAAAATTATTTTGATAGGCGAGTTGAGTTTTGCGAACAAATGACTGCAGCGATTAATGATAATACCACTCTGGTAAAGAATATCTGCTTCAGTGATGAATGCACATTTTATCTAACTGGATTTGTTAATAAGCATAACTGCAGGTATTGGAACAATGAAAATCCTCATGCTTTTGTAGAGGGGCATACCCAGTACCCCCAAAAATTGATGTATGGGCAGGTATTTTAGGAACCAAAGTAATTGGGTCATTGTTTCTCAATGGAAATTTGAATGGAGACATTTGGATATGTTGGAAAATACCATCAATCCGCTTATCACTGAAACTCTGAAACCAATGAAAACCAAATCGAAAAGGATCGAAACCTTATACTTGATGAGGCTGAACTATATTTCCAGCAAGCCGGCGCTCCTCCTCACTATGTTCTTCCGGTTCGACACTGGCTAGACGACGAGTTACCAGATAAATGGATAGGGCGAAGAGGACCTATGGAATGGCCTGCTAGATCACCAGATTAGACGCCATTAGACCTTTTTCTATGGGGTCATTTGAAATCTATTGTTTACTCCCCAACCTGAAAGTTTGGATGAACTTCGTCAACGCATCATGGAAAGCTACCATGATATCCCAGATGTTTTTGAAAATGTCCGTCAGGGAATTTGAACATCGCCTATATATCATTGCTTGGCCAATAACGAATTAATCTTCTTCAAAACGAATCGACCGATTTTACAAAATCGAACATCAAAATAAAGGACTTTGGAAGACTTTTAACGAGCTATTACTCGATACCCATTGTCATTTAAATTTTCAAGGGGATGACCTTGGGGGCAGAGGGTGAAGTACTTTTTGGTTAAAAAGTTGTCGCCCTTGACAAATCTTTTGCGTTTTTACTTTTAATCAGCGGTTTTCGATAAATCCGTGGTGGAAATCTTTCAAATGAACACCCTTTATATGCCTTAACTAGTTTGTCTTAGTTCTAGGTTGGTATTGGTGTCGTAATGATGAATTGTTACTATTGTTTTGTGTAATATGAGTTAATAAAACATCAAACTTTAAAAATTAATATAACTTTTATTACTGTCTCAATAATACAACATACTTTTAAAACTTGACACATCATGATATCACTCTAAACTCTCAATATAAGCCTTAGCTACCGCATCTCAAAGGCACACATGCGAATAAACTATAATAAGGGAGTATTGTCTGTAACAACTTGATATAAAAATATATTATTATCATATCATATAACCAGGCGAGGCGAAAGTCTCGCAGTCTTGAGAGAAATTTTCAACTCGATTTTTTTTATGACATGAAACAAACAAGGTTCTCAGTCACCTTTCTTTAAAGGCGAACATCCCCTTTTTTAACTTTCTGTCGAGTATTCTTAATACTTATTTGATTATATCGTGGTTAGTATACAGATGACTATGAAAACATCAACTTTTTTTCTGTCAAAGTGCATTTTTATCTTCAATCGTAACTTATCAAATAATAGTATAGTTCTAAAATAGTATGTGAATATTCCATTTTTATGGTCGAATTGAATGGATAATTACTTTTCTCTTACAATTTTTTTCTTCGAAAAATATTTGCTTTTCTTGAAAACTCATTTAGTAGCAAATTGGGCCAATGATTTTGGAATACAAAAAAAGGGATAAGAAAAGTGGCTCAATTCTACTATAAAAGTATTAAAATTCACATTCAACTTCAGAGCTATACTAGTATTTGATTGAAGAAAAAATGAACAACACCTTTTGACAGAAAAAAATTGATAACGTTTCTAAGTCACCTATAACAATCAATCAGATGAGAAGTTTCAAGCATACTCCATGAAACAAGCTATTGAGAAAGAGGGATGTGGGGTGTTAAAACTTGATCATTTTCATGTTATAAGTCTGAAAAACCCTTGAAATGGCAACATTCAATGCTTGAAAACTTGGTCAAAAATCAGTTTTTACGTCGCCAAGTGATTAAATTTTAGTTCAAGCTTTCCTTAACAAAGCCCCAAAGAGTATTTCAGGCTTAGTTTATTCTATTCTAGTAATTCTAGACACTTGGTGCTCTCAAAAGTAGCATTAAAAATGGTCATTTAAAGGATTTTTTAGACTTCAAAAATCGACTACACAGGCCCGCAAATTAAATAACTAAATAATAAGTAGTGTATGCTCAGAGTCCGACTATGTTTTTTCTATTTACTGTTTCACACGGATCACGAATCTGAAGTCAGATTTTTGCATAAAAACGATCCACAGGTCCCCAAAAAATTAAAAGTGGTGTCTGCTGGGAGTCTCACTATATTTTTTCCATGTATTTTCTCTCTGAACAGGAATATGCAGTGGGGAAAGATGGACAAATATGATGGATTTAGACGGCAGAATTAAAAATTTCATTTTTGGTATATGTACAGAGACCTCTGAAGAGATGCACATCCACCAATAATGTCAAACTGTGTGATCTTAATGCCTAAATTACTAAAAAACCTTGTACGGTGCAAACAAAATTACAATAGAAAATTTCTCCCACAAATGTTTGGATTGTCGTCTCGTCTATATAACAAAACAACACTTAGTAATTTTTAATATTCCGTATACTGCATTGCGCAAAAAATTGGGTGCACTTACATGTAAAATATGTTCCAAAATCTAAATATTGTCTTGGTTGGATTCTAATATTTTATCGTCTGACATATCGCTGTAGTAACAAAGAAAACAAATATATTTAAATTAACAATTATATAAAACACAGTCATTTTTTAATGGGATCTTTTTGTTTTCTGTGATTTTGCATGTAGCAATTCAAATAAAATATTTACTTTGTTCTAATCCAATATTGACTAAGTATTGGCTCAAAATAATGTCGGATATGGAACGATTTTTTTTTTTTAAATACGGGGTCCGGGAACTTTGCATCGGAAAAAATATTCTGGCTCGAATTTTTTGCTTACTCTTATTTGAAAAGGGTCGCTTTAAACAAATCTGCATTTATCCAGTGCCAAATTTGCGACAAACGTTTTTTATACACTTTTTTGAGCAAATTCACGAAATTGTTTTTTTCGCTCCGTGTTTAGGTTTTTTTTTGGGACATTCTCAAGAAAAAATGTGATTTACAACTTTTATTTGAAGTTTGTTGCTTCAGAGATATGAGCAGTACATTTGAAAAAGCGGAAAATACGGCATTTTTAACCCCGAAAAGCATATTGAAAAAATTTCTCGTAGTCACGCAGAGCATAACACTGAGCACGCGCTTGGTTAACAATTAAAAAAACAAAGGTTTACAATAACGATACCTCCTCACATTCTTTGGGATTTTGTTAATGGATGTTTGGGGAATATTTAGGAACATTGGCAACTTAAAATTTTCGGTTTTTCATTTTGTTTTTCAGTGTCGAAGACGGCATATTTTTCAAATATTGTATCGCTTATACCTTGAAAACTTTAGAAACAAGTTCTATAGAACCTTTTTTGTTGAGAATGTCCCAAAGAAAGTAAAAAAACACTTTGACCGGAGCAAATAACAATTTTTGCAATGCTTCAAAAAGTTTTCACGCAAATTTGCGCCTGGAAACATGCAGTTTCGTTAAAGAGATTGTGCAAAATATCCGAATCAGAATATTTCCCATCAGATGCGAAGATATTGCGGGACTATATAAAACAGATGCATGTTTGATAAAAGTTTTAACAAAACATCGCGCTGCATAAACAACGTGGGTTGTATTTCAAGTATGCAGGTTCAATAAAAAATACTGATATCAAAATATTATCAACATTATTTCACCCAAAAGTTATACTTCAAAACAATTATTTCATTGATGAATAACTAAAAGTGAAACTGATAACTATTATAGAAAAAAACTATTAAAGGAAATAGTAGTATGGAATCACAGATTATTTTTTCTTGAACTATTTGGTCGCTACTCGAAGCTAACCTACAAAATTCCTACCGCTAAACTATCGGCTAGTTTGCGTATAAAACAATAGTTATTACTGATAGTAAGATTCATCACAATAGAAATGTCCATTTTCTTGATAACAATACATAACAATCAGGTCATATTATGAGTATCTTGCTAGAGCAACAAAACTTAGTGATCGATTGAAATATTGACGAAGATGCAGGTGTAGTTTTTAAGATTTTTAAAGGATTCTAAAGCTGCCGAGGTACCAAACAGTAAAGATCCTGTTCTATGCAAGTTTCTAATCTAATTGAAAGCCACAAAAAACAGGGTCAGTATAAAAATGTGGAAATAGTGCGTAGAGCATAAAACCTACTAAATCGACTCCCGTAGGTTTTGTATGCAACGCCACAGCGAACCGACTGTTTCGAGAACGTGGCTGAATTCATCATGGTAAACAAGGACTGTTTTGATGATAGTGGACGATATCTGAAAACAGCATAGTAACTATAATAGTACACTCTGCGAATATCCAAAGTTCGTCAATTTTGGTCTGACAAAGTTAAAAATCGGTTTAATATAAAGTGATCACAAAATACTTTCGAGGTCTTGTAAAGCGACGTTCAAACTTTGATTCAAATACCTGGCGACCTCAAAAATTATAATTTTTAATCGCGAGTTTTAAGCATTGAATATACCTATTTCTAGGGTTTTTCAAAGATTAAACCGCTATTAACACTAAAATGGCTAACTTTAGAGAAAAGTTCCTAGAGGCTTGTATTCGTCATAATGATCCGAAAAACATAAAAAAATGTGTCCCGGCAAAAAAATAGTTTATTTAAGAATCGTGTTTAACGAATCGATGTGTTAATGTGCAGTGTAATATTCAGTGCTTGAAAACTCGGTTAAAAATTATAAAGTTTGAGGTCATTAAGTATCTTAATTAAAGTTAAAAGCTTGCTATACAATATGTTGGAGAATATTTTAACATTAGTTTATTTTAAACCAATATGACAAAGTTTTTTTATGCTGTTTCTGTTTAAATACTATTCGCTGCGTGCTCGCTGACAGCGCCTCCTAGTGACCATAATTATTCGGGACTCGTTACCTGTCATTTCTTGACAATTAGAACTTTTTCTAACAATGTTTGTGTTGTTTTCCCTGGAATTAAACAAAACTGCACGAAAATACTTAAAACGATTGTGGTGCATATTAAACCAAGTAATTTGCTTACTTGAACAAAAAATGGTTGTATATTTGTTATGATCAATTTTTCGAGGTTCAGAATTTCCATAGTTTTGCAACTCTAACAAAATACCCAGGAGAAAATTGATATCGGTTGGACAATGCTTGTGGCTTAACCTCAATCAGTTATCTCTCGCTACTGTCTTTTTACGAGTGTCCATTACGGTAGAATAACAGCTGATTATCTAGAACTATTTCAAAATTTCCAAGTGACACACAATTCTGACGAATCCGGCAACGCCAGGTAGACAGAACCGTATTAGGTTGTGGTTTTTTGTTCGCTACAGATTCATTTTGTACTTGCTAACAACTATTTTATTTATAAAAGTTCCATTGCATAAAAAAACGCTACAAGCATAATGACTGCTAATAATCATGACTACATTTCAGTTAGGAATAAAATAAGACAAACAGTTTTTGAGTTTGCTAATCATCTCTACTTTATAGAACTTGAAACACTATGTGATTTTTAAAGGGCAACGAAACGGCCATATTTGAATTACGTTAACTGATGACAGACAATTAGGTAGAAACACATATCTATATTATTTTTACATGTAAATTACACAGGTCAGCACAATCTATTCTATTGACTTCCCACCTCCTAATAAATAAATCCCAGATGTATTATACTATTTTCTAATAAAGATTTTTCTATGTGTACTTCGTATATTTTGTAGTCAAAATTTTCAGTCACTAAAAGTATCTAGATATGTGAACAACAGTTCTCAATACGGTCCTTTTACCAGATTTACAACCGATTCATTATTGCCAACGTTACAGTCTAGTACAAAGATGTCACTTGCTAATCAGCTGTTCACTCGGTCACACCAGAATATAATGGATACTCGTGAAATACACTGTAGTGTTCTCTCTGTGGAAATTTTATCCAATAGAAGATAACAGCCCCATTTTAGGTACGGGTGGTGATGATTTCCGGTTCCTCTTTTTCTTTCTTCTTCTCAGGCTCTTCAGGTGGTTGATCCCAAGACTGCCTTTCCCCTGATCCAAAAAAGACGTAGAATGTGCAACATCCCGCGTAAACTGCGGCCGCTGTGATGAAAACTACCCGCCATTTTGCTATGCTTGGCTGGAATAGAAAAACTGAAATGAATACTTGTTCGATAACCGTGGATTTTCAGTACGAGAAAGTTCAATAAAGTAACTCTGAAACTGATCATGTGGCTTTCATATTCAAAGGACAGGAAGTACATTTACCGGTCATTAACAGAAACAGAATAATTATAAACAACTTAGAATTAGTAAATTCAAGCTATATAATAAACAAGATGGGCAAGCTATAACTGTAGGTTTAACAAGTGTTTCCTCAACGTCACTTTGACTTTTGTCAACGTATTCTGGTATGTTATTTCTGAATTTAATTTATTATATTCAATCAACCCTTGATGTAATACAGATTTGTAACATATACTATTTGGACATTAAATGGAAGTCATATTTAATTCTGGTATTATATAAATGATGATGTTGTTAACTTAGTTAGACATGGTGGAAATATATTTTTTTTTTAGTTTATAAATAAACATTACAAGATATTTGATAAAATTTTTCACATTGAGACATTTTAATTTGCTAAGCAGTTGTCTGATGGGAGTATATTTATCTTTACTTAGTATTAATCTCATGCACTTGTTTTGTAAAATTTGAAGTCTTTCAAAAATGTAATTATTAGCTAAATATAGTATAGTCGAGCAGTACAATTACAATCTGGCAGAATGATAGTTCATAGATAATTGTTTTACTACATGAACTCAGACATCTAGAAACCCTTGATAAATATCCCACTACTATTAATGTTGATCATAATTTTCAATAAATATCATAATTTAATTGAGTGTCAACAGAAACTCCAAGGTATTTAAAATTTTCAGTATCAGTATCTTCACCATCAATATTTATTTGAACATTGGTAAATTATTTTTGTTTTAGTTAACGTAGCTTTCTTTTTACTTGTACCTAATTTGAGTTTGTTAGATGCTAACCATTTCGAAACAAGTTTCAAGTCTTCATTTATATCAAAGATCCAGTCTGAACATTTTGAGTACATATATAAATCAAAGTTTTATCGGCGAATAATTGGATTTTGCATTTTTCAACTATGGCAGGCAAATAGTTCATGTAGGTGCATAAAATAAAAGAAGTGGTCCCAGGATACTGCCCTATGGAACACCCAACGTATTTTCATTGTTTGATGAAATAATGTTATTAAATCTTTTGAAATTAGCATCCTCTTAGACAAATAATTTTTAATCCAATATAAAACATATCCTGATATACCATATACCTGTAATTTACCTAACAAAGCATCCTTATTGTTTCAAATGCAGACTTCATATCCAAAAATACTGTTACGACAACTTCTTCTGAGTCAATAGCTCTTCTCCAATTCTCAGTAACTAACTGGTAAAGCCGTTTCTGTGGAACTTTTGTTTTCTTTTATAAACTGCATTAATTGCTTATGTACTACGGACTTCAATAATTTTTCAATGTCTGGTAATACATTCGCTCGTTTCATATCGCTGCATTTTTTAGAATATGTTATTTTGGGAACTGGCGTTATTGTAGAACATTTCAATGTTTCAGGCAAAGAACTTCCTCTCAGTAAACAACTGATCCAGTGTAATACTGAATATACGAAAATTTTGAAGCAGTTTTTCAGTACTATAAACATTTTGTCTTGACCTCGTGACCCAACATGTTATGAAAGTCTATATCAATGATACCTACCGTTCCGACGACAACGTTGCCAGCGTAGATAGGCGCCAGCAGACCAGCCAAGTTGGCCATACAATTTGTAAAGGACATCAGGATCCCAGCAAACTGCGGAGAGATGTCTAAATGGTTGACCTTGAAGCCGGAGTAGATGCCGCCGTTAAGCCCAACGCCCACAGTTAACAGAGCAACTGTCAACCACTTGTCACAACCTGTGTAGGAAACTGCGACTAGGGCAATCGCAGGGCCGTACTGACCTAAAGAAAAAAGGAATGTTTAGGATCTTTCCGATCATAAATTCTGGTTTTTATAGCAAATAAAATGGAAAATACTAAAAGTTCGGTATTTTATCGCAAGTTCTTCTCGACTGAAATATTAACTGATCTAGCAAATATTATCAAAAAACAGCACCCTGTAGACATTGAAAAAAAAAGAAGATTGATATAACTACTATCTATAGCGTTTTGATGATTTGTTGCGACTCAATGTACAAAAACGCTCAACTTTGACGAATGCCAGTTCGCCATTTTGAAAGGCGATGATTTTATATTCTAGGGTTATAAAATACTCATAATGAGCTTCCTATTTATTTTACGCTAACATATAATCATGCATCAATTTCATTATCCCGAATTTCAGCTTGCTAACTTGGCCCGTTCAAAAAATACAATGTGGGAAATCTTTTTGAAAAGCACTGTATTAGTCACAGTGACCAGAAACTGTAATGGATTTATCACTTGCTTTAGTAAATACTGCCTATACCAAATATTGTATAATATCAGAGAGACAGCAAACGCAATAAAATATTAAAAATTAAGGACTGTCCCTTCCCGTATTTACTTGGAACATGTATGGAAGTTATGAGAAATAGTGCTAGATTAGTAGAAATGTTTCTCTTCATACACTTTGCCTATTAAAGCTGTATTGTTTAACGTAAACGTGACAAAAAAAGAAATGGAAACCCGGTTGTAATAATTCTTAAATAGACATTTAACATCAGAACCGTCGTTATCAATTTTCAAGATAAAATTTGCTACAACAGCAGAAGAACACCTGCAAATGCCGCGCAGACATAACTTACCTATTCCATTGATTATTTTTCTGACTGACGTGTGGGTGAAGTACGGTTTTGTAAGCATCCAGTCAGCAACGTGACTGATAAAGATTGAAAATATCCACATGGCGAGATATGGTAACGCTGATAAGACGCCGTTCTGCAAACGAGATAAGCGATTAAATGTATATCGAAATTTGAGTAGAGAAGACAAGACAAGAGAAACGGTATACCTTTCATAGAACACAAGAGGCTTCTTTTTTTTGCACATATTCTCAGTAACAGAAGAATTACAAATAATAATACAGTACTATGGGATATTCTCCAGCTAGTCACATTTGCATTTTTAATGGCTGAAACAGATTGTTTACATCCATTCTTCAAGGGGGTATAATGTATTCTGGTTTTCCACTCGTGTTAAAAAACGCATTTCAAATTCGCACATTAAAAGATATCAAATCCTATATACCGGGTGTTTCAAATTTGACACTCACCATTGGAATCTTGGAAACTGCAAAAGTTACGACGTCGCTCAAATGAGGCAAAGTTGCGTAATTAGGTGACTAACAAAATGCCGCTGAGGAGGTTTAGAAATTCAAGGTACTTCCGGAAAGAAACAGAAAAAAAACGAATTTTCACAAAATGGTTTTAATTTTTTCCTGACTTTATCTGTAGTGGGAAGATGGCATAATTAGAATTTTAATATGACGTTTTGTCTCTTGCCCTCCAAAATCAACTTCTGCAACTTTCCTATGGACGTCATATTGGATTTTTACGCAGATGAATAGAACTTTTAGTTCTGATTTCAAAAATGTATGTTATACATTGAAATTGCCAAACCTGAGTTATTCCAGGAAAACAGAATATCCCATGTAGACCTTGAAAATATCATAGACATTTTAAACATCTGGTAAGATTTACCTCTGCTTATCTACGATTATTATTGTTACCGTCAATAGAAATTTCATTGCGTTCAAGTTTCACCATACCTCTTTATTTCCTTATAATTTTCGTTTCGACAACAAATTCATGGCCAGCAAAGGAAATACATCAGTTAATTTGGGACTTGAAAAGTCCATTTAAATGTACAAAACTCCAATATAGCGTCCATTAAACAAACAAAGTTGTTGATGGAAGTCGAAAGAAGAAACCCTGAATTGAAAATTTGACTACGCCATTATGTAGAGAATAAGTCAATGACAACATGCAATTTATTTTGAAATCCCATCGCAAAATATTATACATTTTTTGCAACAGAATTAAAAACTATTCACCTGTGCAAAAATCCAATATGGCGTCCTTAAGAAAAAATAAATTTGATGGGAGGACACGAGAAGTCGAATTGAAATTCTAATCGTGACATCTTGTAGAGAAGAAAAAGTAGAAATTTTAATGTGCAATTTATTTGGAAATCCCGCTACAAATAAAGTCAGGAAAAAATGAAAACGATTTTGAGATAATTCTGTTTTTTTCGTCTCTCTTCGGTATTTCAAAACTTTCTAAGCAGCATTTTGTTAGTTAGTTAAATACGCAACTTTGCCCACATTTAAAGGACTTCGTATCTCTTACCGATTCTGAGATCCCAATAGTGAGTGTCGAATTTAAAACACCCGGTATGTCCCCCGAAAGAATCAGCTAAAATGATTTGGTTTTTATTCCTGATCTCAGTAAAACCAGATTCTACCATTTCAAGCACCTACTGTCAACTCCAGAAAATCAAGGTTATTTCGCTCACACGTGACAGAAGCCTAACCTCCTTGGTAATTGTAGGGTGATATTCTACTTCATGATATTTCATTACGTCAAAACTATCTAGTTATATTGAAAATACCCCATCTATAATCAAGTCCAAGCGAATAACCAAAATTTATGTGCTATGTACCGCGGTTATAATATGGTTTAAGATGACACACGGGTTGATGACGTCGGTTACTCGAATCGCTTAAACGCGTTGGTTTTAAGGGTGCTTTTGTTGCAAGTTGTTTACTTTAGAAAATCGCGTATATGATTTCTGATATTTTTATTATCAATTAATAATCGGTGCTTTTTCGTCTACAACAGAGTACGGAAAGTTTAAAAAATAACCCTTTCATAATATTAATAGGAGAAATGTTTTTTTTTCAGAAAATAGTGTTTAATGATGGAACCACGGCTTTGTAGCTATGATAACTTTCCGCATGTTGAAGAAAACATTCATTGATTTAGCGGAAATTATACGAAAAAACGATGAAAAAAGATATTAGCAAAACCGTATACATGTGGACATTATCCAGTGAGTTTATATGGCCATATTTTAATTTTCTTGTGGTATATGGCTACACATGATACTTAATTAAGCATAGGAACTAGATTTAAAGTGTTCCCAACAACAGTAATGAGTATAACTAATAAGGTGCTCTACTTTAAGCTACAACTGAAGTCAGCCTGTATCAAGTTTCCCAAAAATGAAGCAGAAGTACAACAAAAATATCCAATACCCGCCAAAATTCTAACTTGTCACATTTCAAATAATAACCAGAAATATAAAACTACTCCTGAGTTGCGTAAATACCACAATTTTGCGGTGATAACTATGACATATAACAGCTGATTCATGACCTCACGGATCTTATAAGCACACTGATAACCACACTCGCTGGAACGGAGCGGTAAATACCAATCCAAAATGGTAAATACCATTTTCATTTGGTTCTTCGCTTGAATTTGATTTATCATTTGGTTATTCGCTTGAATTTCATTATAGACACAACTCTGACCAGTCTGTCAACACCAGATCTGTGGAGAAAGCCATATTTATCTGTATTTTTTGTACGCTACGGATTTATACTTTCTAACAACACTTTTATTCATAACAACAAAACGAAAGAAGTAATATGGCTGCTAATAATTATGAAAATATTACAAGTCAGGTAAGAATAAAGCAAACTAAACAGTTTTTGACCATGGTTTATCCGTTTTAACTTGGAAATAACATGACATTAAAGGGGTGTGATGCTGATGCTATACAGTTGGTTCACAATGTGTGGGAGTGTATAGTATTGATCGAGTTGATTTAGCTAAAATTACACCCACTGGAAAGAATAATCTGTTCTATCATAATAAAACCCCTATAATAATTTTCTAATAAACATTATCTATACTTTCTACACTTTATGGTGAAAATTCCAAGTCTCTGAAACGATGTAGGTATGTGAAAAACAATCAAAGTAAAGTCAACAATTCAAAAGGAGTGACTCATGATGAAATGGCTTTCTAAAATCGCTGGTTATTCCTAGGTTAGTGAGAAAAAAGATGTAATCTGAATCTCAAAATTTCAGACATCTAGTTTGATCACATCTATCGGGCAAAGACTAGATAAAAATAGCAGAAACACCAGATTAGAAAAGCGAAATATGATAAGCGCTAGTACGATAGAAGATGTTATCTATAGTTTGCATAACAAATAGTATCTGTGCCTATGAAAAAATAGAATATTTGGAGAATATCTCTATATAAACAGCACTAAATAAATAAAAGGATAACTTACATCTTTAATACTAAATCGATGGACTTGTTTCATGTAAGTAGGTAGTTCTGTCATCAACGTTTCATAACCGTAATTATGACCCATATGTGCTAACAAGATAGCCCAAAAGGGTAAAGACTTCAATATCGACATCCATGGTATTGGTGGGATCTACAATTTACCAGATTAGTGAATAAATGTAAATTTTTCAGATTTCATCTAGGGATGGCAATGATGCATCATCAATGTATCGAAAATATCAATACATCAAAATTAGAACATCGATGTTTTGGCATTGAAGATGACACACGATGCATCAACATTGGGGTGATCAAAAATATTGGTGACCCTCAACTATGCTTTAAATTAGTAATGGTGGCTTCAAAATTGGCAGAATCTTCACATTTTTGACATGGCAGAAATCTGTTTGTAGTTGACCCAGTGATAATTTTATCATTATGGACTGTTTCCTTTGCTTTTGTATTGTGTATTTCCGAAATAGTATCGTTCTTTTATCCTGCCTAGACGTTCCTGTCGCTTTTTTTATTTTTCTTGGATGAAATAAACATGCAGTGGGAATTATTCCACCAACGGAACACATAAATTAAAAGTAAGCAGTCGATGTTGCGATACATCGCCACCATCGATGTATTTGTTTCAATGTGTCGAAGCCATTAATATCAAAATGGCGATGCTTAACATTGATGTTTACCTGAAAAATTGCCATCCCTACATTCGCCACTTAAAGACCTACCGGTAGACCGATTTTACTCCCCAACTGTTTCTGAATGTACAATCGTTCTTCCACATCCATCTTGGAGTTGCTTTGGGGATCTTCGTGGATGAAAATTAGAAAGAAAATGCACCATATGGTACCGATTGCTCCAAACACATAGAAAATTGACGGCCAACCCAATCTGCATTCTGATAATAGCCCGCTCAGAGGCATAGATATGACAGTGCCAAATTGGGCTCCTAGAACGATTAAATGTCCATGATGTGTTACAACTTTCTGAAGCATAGTTGAACTTAACTTACATTATACCCATTTTACATCAATTTCTACAGCAATTTATTCCGATGGATTTCTTCAAAATCATTCTGATTTTATTTTACGGTGTTTACATCAGTTATTGACAAATTCATGGATTATCTGACAGTACACAGTGCTGTCAATCACACAACAAATTCTTGCTAGAAACATTTTGATTTTTTATATGTATTGTGGTTTTCATTCCTAGGTGAATCTCATAAACAGAAACCATATTGATGAATACCATAGATTTATCAAAGTTCTATACTTGGTGTTCAATATAATGGATAGGAAAACAAGATTGGCGCCATGGAATTTGACGTCCAACTTCATGGATTTATTTGACGTCAAATTCCTATTTTATAATTGAAGAATGCAGGCTTTCACGGCTAATACTAATGTCATTTAGATTTTTCGGGCTATTGAGCCGTGTTCGGGTTGAATTTGATCCAGAGCTTTCGGCTACATCTTCAGTCGACCTGCCAAGCCGAGCACTTCGCTCTCGCCGACAGCGCCACTAAAGATGGCTCTAGATCGGGAATCCAACCCGACCACGGCTCTACATCCTATTTTACACATTCGAAATTTGACCATGATCTCAATTCATGAAGAAATCCGTGGATTTATTGTCAATGTAAAACGGGTATTATACATAAATTTGCGGTACCAGACAAAATCGATGATACCCAACCCATTGGGCAGAAAACCTTAAAAGTTCTGTTTTTTTTCATTTAATTTAGTTACTGATTCGAAATCTTATATCTTCATGAAACAATTTTGTCTGTTTTTGCAGCATGTGATTTTGCAACTGTTTCATACCGATTTATTGTTCAAAATGCTTATACAATAGTTTTTTATTGCCTATCTCGATGAAAAATAGTCCAAATATTCCTACATGGGTATTCTTAGAAAAGTCTAAGGTAGCGCATAAATAGAGCTGATACGGAATTAGTAACAAAACACTCATTTTGATTATTTAGCCTTAAATCGATCACATAATTATTCAAAACAAAAGCGGGAGCATTTCATTCCAATTTTCGGATAGTTTACGCTATTTCTATTGAATACCAAGCGACGTAAGCAATAATTGCTCGTCTCACTAATTTAGAAAATAAGTTTGCCAAAAAACGTGTTTTCATCTGGTTCTCAAAAAAAACTCGTGGTTTGGCTCCCAAAAAATAATTCTGATCGAGGTTTTATATGGAATATAAGTTAGTTGGTCAGAAATTCACGATTTAAATTTCGTCATATTGCGAGGCGTGGCCTGGAGTCTGCGAACTTGCTCGACAGTGTAATCCACAAAGTCACGTAGCAAAGGGTTGTTGTGCACTGAGATCTTATCCGAATGCCGAATATCCCCTGACAAGATTTTGTTCGCACTATATGGGATCTCTGAATATAAAGACTTGGATTGGATAAACAGCTTTTATCATTAAAAAAAATATAGCGCCATATCTTAATGTTGTATTATCAAAACTCCTCTACCCGTCATCATTAACATTCGAGGAACAACCGAGTATTAAATTAAATTTTTATGAATACTGTCTAATCGTTGTAATTACACAAGTAACATACGAGGATAAGGTGAAAAGGTCCCGGCTTGACTCATAAACGGCGCTCCAATCACCGAACATTTATAATTCCCGCATGAATGCACATGACATTTGTTTGTATGACAAGTTTCAACTTGTTCTCTCAAATTTTTGAAGTGGTTTTCATTACGGTGGATGAACTTGAATATTGTGCTGTCATCAAACTCTTCATGTAGTGTGGAAATTGTTCTTAAAAGTACGCAGCTGAGCTTAATTGTTGTCGCACGTCCCTTGAAGAGGACCCACGTGAAGTAGGGCCAAAAACCGCAGCCACACCTGAAACCATCGAAAAGGTCCACGATATCGTGTTGGACGAAAGACATGTCAAGGTGAGCGAGATAGCTGAGGCCGGTAGGTCTGGTTTTTTGTGAGTGGAGGATCGTGTGCAAAAACCACTGATAGAACGTTAGTCTGCGAGGATAGTCTTCTGGTAACAAGGCCTGCACTCGTTGTACATGGTAGGAATAAAGCAAATTTTCCTGTAGGATTCTATGGACTATGGTATGCGATAGCCCTACGTGGCGGCCTAATTCGCGAGTGCTGATATCTGGATTGATTTCCACGATATTTAAAATTTGTTCCTCCTGCTCTACAGTAACCTGTCTTTCACGAGTGCGAATATTAGTGGGCTGAACACTTCCTGTATCTCGAAGTCTTTTGTACACTTGCACAAATGTCTTTCTGTCTGGGTATACCCGTTGCCGAAATCTGTCGCGATAAATTTGAGCTGCAAGATTTGAATTCTGTAAATCAAGACGACGACGTACGCGAATAAAAACATAACAACATACTAACCACTGTTACCGTTTGCGATCGATTGCTGGTTCGATAAGAGTGATGATGACCGACGCGCTGTTGTTATGTGTGTTTTAAATATTCAATTTAATGAAACTTAGAAAAACTTAATGCTATTTATTTGTTAATTACCCAATTTAAAAACTTTTTAGATTAGATTATAAAAATTAGTAAGATTGTGGTGATTGTGATATAAAGCACTTAAAGTTGTAAACTATAAAGCGATTTAGACAAAAATCTATTGACTTTTGGACCGTGGGTCATATGAACTTTTTAACTTGTTTTGACCCCCCGTATTACCCATTTCAATAATGACTACCATAACGTTTACACCCTGTATTTCTCTGAGCAACTCCAGGTTCCTGAAGAAGTCAATCAACTTGTTTGAAGAAATATCCTCTAGGTCTTCCAGTTGGAGTTCTACTCCCCTAAGTATATTTGACCTGACTCTGTCTATTGCAGGGCATCTTCATAGAACCGCTTCGTTAACCGTTTCGTCTCCCTCCACGAGCATTCTGCACTCAGAGCCTTCCGCCAGGTCCAGCCTGATCATATGGTGACGCAATTTGCAATGACCAGTGTACAGCGCCACTAAAGCTTTGAGGGTATTCCTGTTTAGCCGCGGCTATTACCTTTTTTCAAGGTTGGTACAGGTGCTTTAGCATGGGTTAACCTTGTTAATCCCTCCCAGTGTGGATGAATCTTTACCTCCATCTATGCGGAGATTATTTGTTTAGCCATATTGTACGTGATCCCGATCGCTGGATCAGGACCTATGAAAGATGTGCTAGCCCCACTCTTTGGCAGAGTGTCGGCTGTGTCGTTTTCCTTCAGACCTGTATGACCTGGCATCCGTCCGAGGCGGACATTATTTCGATTCCCTAATCTACCAAGAACTGAGCGGGGTAGGTGGAGTCAAGTGCTTGAAGCGCGGCTTGACTATCTAAAGAAATATTTATAGTCCTGTGCCTCAGCTGGGGCGTGGAGATAACGGAAGAAAGGGTGCGAAACATCTTGCACAAAGAAATGGAGATCAGAACGCTTTCGGATCAGTGTTTGGATCAATTTAATAGGGATCCAACCAATTTTATGCGGCGATTCATTACCATGCATGAGAGATGGGTCCACCGCTAAACGCCAGAAACAAAACAGCAGTTGAAGCAGTAGATGTAAGTGGTTCAATGCCAAAGAAGGGAAGTCGATTGCATATGCCAGGAAAGTCATAGCCAGTGTGTTTTGGGATCCGAAACGGAATGTTAATTGATGACCTTGAAAAGAGTAGTACAATTATGGACGAACACTATTTTAACCTCCTTTATCAAGTGGATCATGAGAAGAGGCATGGCTTAAAGAAGAAAAAGATTATTTTTATCAGGTATACGCAGCTGCCCACAAAGGTGAGTTAAAAAGGCAAAACTGCAGAATTTGGAATATGATTTACTTGACCATCTTCTCTATTCTCCTAATTTGGCACCCCAGATTTGAAGAACTTTCTTTTTGGAAAGCGCCTTGGGTCCGATGAAGTTGAGAAGGCCGTAGGTGAATATTTTGAGAGACTTCTAGACTTGCAAGTCCGAGAAGCAATCCTAATGTTGGAGAAACGTTGGACTAAGTGTATTGGAGTCGAATGGGATAATTTTTTTGACAATTTATTGCAGGCCTTGAAACAGTATAAAAAGACTGACACCAAGGCCGACACATTACATTATTATACTTAAACTAAAATTGAAAACATCTATAAATATCTATAATGCTAAAATTTGAAGTGCTGAATTTTGTATGTCAGCAGCGGGGGCCGCAGTAGTAGACTCTTCGGTCTCCTGATCAGTCGCCGAGCGCTGTGCGGGTTCGAATCCCGTCCCAAGAAAAAATGTTTTCTTGGCTATTGACGTTGTGATTGTCCGTAGGTGGTAGACGGTCTCTAACTGTCGAACGCAGAGGTACCACCCGGCGGATCTCGTAGGCGGGGCAGAATGTATCCCCCTATAGCCCTACGGTACCCCATGGGTGTTTAGGCCTTAGGCCTTCGTAGTAGTTGGAGTAGAAAAAATCTAGATGGTAGATGAGTAAATATTAAATTATGACAACCTCAATTTATAAAAATATTGTTTTGCTTTTATGTATTCCGCTTTCGGTTCAGACCACCATTTTGAGGTACATTTTTAGATTTGTGGATACTTTTGTCTTCTTCTCCTAGTAGCTGCCTTGGTATTGAATTTCAAGTGTGTATACTTCCATTTATAGGGGAATTTTGGATTTTTTTTTTTCAGTTTTCACTGCATTGTTTCTAAAATTTTTATTCGTTCTTGTATTTTAGTGATGGATGTCGTGATTCTGTTTAAGTTCTATATTTATCTTTATGGTTTTATTGTGTGTAATAATTTAATTTGCTCAAGACTTCTCAATTTGTTTAAGGTTAGCAGATTTGTTTTTTATCACTAGATTCTGTTGCTGTATAGAGAAATGTCTTTATAGTTTTACTTTGGAGTATTTTGTAATTTTTGAAATGAGTTAATATTAGCATTTGAAAATTAAAATAAAGATTTAACTGAAAATTGCAGACACCAATTATCAGGCCGAGAACTTTATACACTACCCTTGTAGTAATAATCAGTTCTATGAAGTTCAACGGAAAACCCACGATGTGACTCATTCAGATACTGTAGACAAAATCACATGCTCTAAATTAAATTATACGGAATATTAACAGTGGAGTCACTCAACGGCTAGCCAGTTCTTCCTACGTGACCCAACTATTCATATTTCGTAGACTTTGTCCTAAATTAAACTACTACTAAAAGAAAAGGATAAATAACTGATTGTTTAGTAAATTCCTGTATAATTTCAGTGTAAAATTAACCGACAACAATACAAAAGTAGTCGCAAAATGGTGAAAAATAACACACATTGACAAATTAATGAGATCGGCGACCTTGAAATGTATGCTCGCTATTGTGGTCTATATCAGATGCTGAATCGGATAGGAAAATCGATCGTGATAAAATTTATTCGTCATGTAATAATGTGCAAATATGCGAGTATACGCTCTTTAAAGATAAATGATACATACAGGGAATTTAAAATATTGGATGTACGAAAATTCTTAGATATCAGCTATTGGAGACAAACAGAGAAGAGGCTTACCTCAAACGAAGAAATTTTAGACTATACCTATAAAAAAATGAAGTAATCGCAGTTAATTTTTGAATTTCAAATGAGAAATAGATTTTCAAGCTAAGTCATAAAACCAATATTACTGACACATATCTCCAACATTTTTATGACATTTCTGATGATTTTGATGTTGGGTTATGACCTTTTTCGGACGTAGCAATTTTAGGTTAGGAATTTCTATCTGTAGCAGTGATAAACATTGTAGAATATAAGTTTCGTAACTCTGCTACCTTTTTGGCTAGAATTTGTCCTTTCCTTTTAGCAACGCATTAAAATATTTTTTGACAAAAGGCAATCAAAAAGCTCTTATTTGAAAATTTTATATTACAACCATATATATATATATATATATATATATATATATTTTGAGACGTGGTCATTGTCGTCTAGACCAGTTAGGTGAAAAATTAAAGCTTCCGCTTTTTGTTGGGTACTTCGACAAGATATATATATATATATATATATATATATATATATATATATATATAATGTAGTGAAGTACACTCTCTCCGGTATTTAGGGTATCCATAACGTCAAACGTAAGTAAATGAAAGCAATCAGCAATCTAGTAATATTTCAAAATACTTCATATTGCCAAGTGACACACAATTCTGACGGATCTCTCAATGCTTAATTTGTAGACATAGTGGTATTTTGTTGTGATCTTTTGTATGCAACGGATTCATACTTCCTAACAGTGTTTTATTTAGAAAAGTATACTACAAGCAAAATGGCTACTAATTGATCAATACTATATTCCAAGTCATGTAGGAATACAAAAATAAGATAAACATTTTTTGATTACGTTTAGTATAAATCGTACTGGATACGGTCCCGAGTTTTATGGGATACACACCAGATCCATTATTGTTAACACTAAAGGCTTCAATACAAAGAAGTCGCTTGTTGATCAGCTGTTCACCTAAGTAGACGTCAAAACGTAATGGATACTTATGGAAAAGACCATAGCTTTTCTTTGCGCTTGCAATAAGTTGTCTTCTACCATCAATAAAAACAATATTTGATATTAAAAATTATCTTTCAAGTGGATTATTACGCAATACTTCGCGCAGGGACTTAATAGTGTCATTGTCATTTAGATCATTTGCTATTCTTACTTTTAAAAGTCATTTTGATTGCAATCCGCCAAAACAATTGAAGTATAAATACTCGAAACTCATAGTAATCAATTGAAAACACTAGAATTGAACAAAAATTTAACTATATCATGTCACTCAAGTACGTTTGAGAAAACATATCAATCAAATCTGATTTACTATTTTTATTTAACATGATACGTTGAATGTTTGTCTCGATTTTATCCAACTCTGGAATGCATCTTGGTAACAACATTCCAGAGGTGTTTGTTGTTTATTGTAATCTAATACCTGCAGTAGTTGATCAATTTTGCAAAATTCATTGCTTTTCATAACCAGCTCAGAGAGGATTTAGGACTTTTACAAATCAAATTTAAAAAAATACCACACACTTTAGGGAAAATATTTCTACTGGAAATAGATCACTAGAAACACATGAAATTTCCTTCATTTCGTTCCTTCCACTGGAATCTGTTCGTGGCATTTTGAATATTGAGGTATACTACTGAGATACTCCCACGGAAAAAAGTTATTGATGACCAGCAAATGGTATCCAGTTATTTAATGTCCAATCATACAAAAACATTCTGCCTACATATTACAAATCTAGTTTCAGCAGTGTTGGAGCACCGCAAATCATTTTCACTAAAATGTTTGGTGTTCTTATAATTTGAGCTGTTAATCCTGTACAAGGTAGGACAAAGAGAATGCCATAACGTACATAGTTCGACTAATAATACCCTGGAAATGAAAAGAAAACTGTTCCAGAAACAGTTTATTTAAATGTTTGAGACATGTGGTGGTCTGCAGCAACTATTTAAAATGTTGTATACCAAGAAGCAATGTGTAAGAATGCAAAAAGTAGACCGATGTAACTTTTTTACAATTTTAAAAGTCATCAATTTTGAACATTTGAATAAAGTGAGCGTGGCACATCGTCCATTATTTTCAGTTTCAAGATGATGGTAGCTAATTTACCTTATGACATTACTTTTGCTCCACCTCGTATCACAAAAGATAAATACGTAAAAACGTCCCGAATCACTAGCCAGTTCTTATTTTTAAGTCTGACTAAAAATAAAAATTCGCTTGCGGCCAAAAAGTGTCTGTAATGTATTTTTGAGACTGGCATTTATATTGATTTGAATGTTTCCAACGTGAAATGTCACACATACAGAGTCATGGCAAAACTCATAAGAATTTAAATTAATATAGTACATAAACAACAAACAAAATTTAGATTTTTATCAGTACCTTAGAGCTTACTGCGTAGTCGTTCTTTAACGCCCCCTTAATTTAAGGGTGACTTATTTGACTTGTCAGTTGGAATTAACAGTTGTCAAGTATCAGATAAGATATCCTTTTTTCGATCTGAGGCTCGAGATATTTAACAACCCTCTCCTCAATTCTGATGTACTCGTAAAATCCACCCTCGTAATAACCAGGCCTTAAGCAAAGGTATGATCATGCATTCGTTCCTTATTTTCGTCCAGATGAATCAACAAAAACTGAATTGACATTGATATTCCAAAGAACCCAAATATTTGGATCCTCTTATGGCTCCTTAGAAAATATGTTTTTTAAAATCGGACGCAAAAATCTAATTATCGCATGTGAGTCATATTTTCAAAATAATTCAGTATGTGATGATAGATAAAAAGTAATGATAACCTGTATTATCAATCAATTACAGCAATGTTGAAATTATCAGTAGTCTAGTTTGGAAAAACGATATGAAACAGTATTGAAATGTCAATAAACAGAAATTATTTCCGTAATCGTAATATTTGAAGAGGATGAACATTTTGTGCAGTTGAGAATGAACATGAGAATACCTTTCACTACTGTGTCTCATGGGCCTCGAAATCGATGTTAAGGGCCGAATGCATAGTCTATCCTTAAAGCCACCTTATTATAAGGTATTGTCTTGTCACTTGAGGGTGCCATAAAAACTGTCAAATGTCAAGAAAGGCGATCTTTTTCGGTCTCTCTGCTTATTACCTGTGGTCATTGATTCTAGTGTATAGTGAAACTTCAATAAAATGATCAATATCGAAGACCGAATAAATACATATTTCCTTAAAGCCACCTTATTGTGAGGATAAGACATTTTCCTTGTCACTTCAGAGTGTCAGCAGATCTGTCAAATGTCAAGAAGGACTAGTATTTTTCGGTCCCACACCTTCTTAATACCTCTGACCCAAAATTTGTAGGCCCGTGAGTCCCTTAAAGCAAGTAGTTGAATAAGGGATCCTTAACGCTAATAATTAATTATGCTGGGCAGTAAGGATGTCTCAGATAAAAAAAATCACAAGAGAATTTGTCTTTTGGTTATTGATCAGACCTTCGAACGTGAAGGTACCACCTGGCGGATCTCTGAGGCGGCGCCAGAATGTGTGCATGTCACATACACACGTGTTCCCTCTCTAGAATGCCTGTGACGTCCTCCCTTTCCCCTGTATCCCCTATATCCCCACGGTACCTAAGGGTATTTATTCATTAGACCTTCGTAGCGGTTGAAGTATAAAAAAGGCCGCCTTTTTCGCGAGGGTCAATTGTTGAAAACGAAGGAATAGAATAACCATTAAAAAGTGTTTTAATACCTCCCACGCCTACCGTTGAGGAATGCCGAAAAACTTCGAAAACGTGATATGTTTTTTGATGTTATATGATATATACATCACGAAAAACCATGTAAGTCATTTCCGTCGGTCAGTCTGTCTGTCCGCTAATCGTTGGCCCCTCTGTAACTTGGCTTGCTCGGATTTCGATGTTATTTTCAGAAAAGGTTACTATGCCAATGATCAAAAAGTTTTGTAATTTTTGAAAATCTGTCCTAAAAAATACAGTTCATTGGAAAAAATAGATACTGTTAAGTCAAATAACGCGTCCTCGCATTAAGAAAGCCTCTTAATTGACCCTTGGACTATGCATCCAACCTTGAATGTATGACATATCGAAAAAACCAATCAAACCACTGCATGTATACGTACCCATCAACCTGTACAATAATCCAAGTTAATACTATACTGTTAATACTATGGTAAAAAGAATGTAGTACTGGTCGCAGAAAGAGATAGTACCTGCATACACGAAAGCGCCCATTCTGCTTCTCTCATTTGGCGGGATCCACTTAGCCAGAAGTGAGTGAGTACATGGTACGATAGGGCCCTGACCAGAAATGTTACCGTTGAAAACTAATACCAAGTACAACAGCGAGAAGAGAATATTTTTGTCAAACAAGTAATTACGCGAATATTTAACTTTAAAAAATACATTTTCGTGGAGTTTTGGCGCAAATGCCTGCAAATAATTTGCCGCTGATGAGTGTGAAATTACAATTACCGAGATTATGATCTGATTCGAAAATGTCTGGTGTACGCAGTCTTTTCCAGAACGTAACAGGATATCAGTATTTTGACTCCAAAAAGAATATTCCGAGTGTTTACTTTTTTAAGAAGGAAAACGGGAACAACTTGCTTTAAAAAGTACGAACGTAAAATTTAGTGTGACATAATAAGTTTTTTCACGCCCATTATAATTAAATAACTACAAAATGACAAGGATATAACATTCATTTCCCAAATACAGAAGTATTCTTCCAGCTGAGACAATGCCTCCTGAAGGCAGTCTACAACTTCTTGAGCATATATTGACTCAGCCACTACAGCTTCTAAGGCCAGCAAGTTCTACACAATAGTAGGAATGAGACAACGACCTAATAAGGTAATTGTTTCATTCCTTCATAGGTGGCGTTCACATAGCGTACGAGTGGTGTGAACTAACGACTAGCTATACACAAATGTCAAGTATAGCGATCAGACTGCTCTCATAGCGATTTTTTACATAATGTTAAAAGTATTAGAACCTAGACGCCATAACCCCACAATACATTTAAAAAACGATCTAAGCTCAACTCTGACAAAAATACTTCCTCTCACTCTGTACTCCCTCCTGCATCCTTACTCACCTCACCCAGGCCTTGAATGAACCTGACAGCGACCAACCACCAGATGCCTAATTCGGCAGCTGCAGGCACCAAGAGACCAAACAGGGAGTTGACCAACATTCCAACTCCCAGGAAGTAGATGTTGCCGTAGCGTTTGGCCAAGATGCCGAACGGGATCTGGGTGATCACATAGCCGTAGAAGAAGGAGCTGAGGACATAGCCCTGGATGTCTGTCTGCCAGACGAACTCGCCGTCTGCTTGAGTGTCCTTTTTCTGGAACATAAATGGCATTTATCAAACAGAAACAGTACAGTACTAGCATGTGCACTTGAATATATATAATGAGAAAATGGTCCTATTTTTTGTTATATATATACGGGGCCACCCTGTATACTACTCAGTTACTGTAAGTAAAACAGGTCAAAAACATCGAAAAAAGCTTCAAACACACAAGACGAACAACGCCAACACGAAATGTCTATCAGCCAGGATAATATGTATTCTCAAAGCTTTGCGCAGTGGAGTATTATGCAAAAATGCATATACAGGATGTCCTCAAAGCTGTGACTTTTGTTTACGAAGCGTATAGGTCAGACGATAATAAGTTTGTTTTTGAGTAATATATATATATATATATATATATATATATATATATATATATAGGTCATTGTCGTCTAGGCCAGTTAGGTGAAAAATTAAAGCTTCCGCCTTTTGTTGGGTACTTCGACAAAAAAATTTATATATATATATATATATATATACTAAAGCTTTAAGATAACCTAGGTATCAGGTTCCAAAATACAATAAATGAGCCAGTACAACCCTGCCACCCTATCCTCCCACAATCGCCTCCTACATCAAAGGATATGTCTGTGGCGTCTAGGTTAACCTCGTTTCTAAACAAATCGCCGAAAAGCCGAAATTGGTACATCGCTAGAGCAATAACGTAATTATCAATTTGATTTGAGCATCATATATCAAAAGACGTCTAGTTGAATACAGTTGAAGACCTAAACAGCCCCATATGTTGCAATTTTATGAAGAAACTCATGTTTTTGAATCGAACAGGTTCAAGTTCAAGCTGTGCTTACAAACATGTAACAGGGCAACTCGTAAAATTCCTTACCAAATTAATAGTGGGAATATTTCTTCAATTTCTTGTTTACCTTTTCGGTGTTGTTTTGCAGTAAAATACCTTTGGTATTGTAAACGTAGGCGACTCTCAAAAGGAAAGCCCCAACTGTCAGGACAGCCTGTATAAACACAAATTGAAGTGAATCTGGTTGGTTCCCGCCTGTCTGATCATGACCAAGCGTATACGACGTCGTTTCTGAAAGTAAGGACTTAATTTTCTGAAACAATTATAATATATATTTGAAATAAAGTAACGGTGAAACAACAGCCAAAAAATTAAACATGCCTTTTTATATGTTTCTTATAAATACTATTAGAAATTGTAGCCCTTAGATTCAAAAACACAAGTTTTTTAACGTTATTCTCAATTTGCAACATTCAGGGCTATCTAGGTCTTTTGTCGTACTCGTCTTGACGTTCCTACAAACGGCCCATGTACGAGATAAACAAATCTACGCGGCGCGGGATGGCAGCGTCCAGAAAAAGAATTTGAATACGCACGCGTGACATCAGCAGTATCTTGAAGATGTTCACCACAAGCTAACCTCAAATCGACAAGTACCTATCGGTATAGAAATTTAAGATGTTTTTTTTCAAATCCAATGTACATTCGAAGTATAATGAACACTATAAGCCATTGTTCAGAAATCTAAGAATGATGCATGTCATTTATCAGAATGTCGAAAACTATAACACGCACATTAACAGCACTGATGAGTTTTTGAACCATGTGTTTAACTTATAGTTTGTGTTTTATATTATGTACTTCTGTTTTTTACTCATTCATGTTTTTATTAATTGAAAACGTTTTGAGCGTCAAATAGTCAATAACTATTACAATTACAAACCCAGTAGCGCGGTATACTTTCATGGCGCACCGCGTTTGTGTTGGATGCTGATGCACCTCGTATCTTTTTATCTAACCGTTTGCCGGATTTGATATATTTTTTCAAAACCGAATGTACCGGCTATCTTAAGATTTTGTTGTATGTGCTACTAAGAAATTTCATTGTTTTAACAAGAACTATACGCCATGTCCCAATTCATATGATGAAACGACTCTATTTTTTCTGGCTACTTACCGTAGCGTTGACATCTACAACGACCCCGCATTCATCATCAACCGTAGTTGCTCCTCCGTCATGTCCATTGGCGATATTGATGGCCGTGTGGTTGACCATAGCCACAATGGCGACCGACATGTTGGTGCGCATGATGTATGCATTGGCCATGCCCAGGAAGAGCATGAACGTTACGAAGTGTCTGGTACCGAACCATCCTGGAACAAACAAAGTAAACATTAAGGTTGCCTTGATCAAAGCCTGTTCCTTGAGTAAACCCGATTCGAATGTTAGTTTTTCGCCGATGCCGACAGAAGTGCCTAAAAGTATCTTCTTCGTACTCTTTTTTATATACTTAGTGCACCCGTTGGTATCGTGGGGCCATAGGGAGATACATGGGAAAAGGGGGGTGGGCGAGTGACATAAGACTTTAGCGAGGGACCACGAACGCATGTAACATGTATATATGTTTGCCTTACTTTAGAGATCCACCGGGTGGTACCTTCATGTTTGCCGGTCACAACATCTATAGCCAAGAGAAAAATTTTCTTGGGACTGGATTCGAATCCGCGCAGCTCTCAGCGACCAGATTAGTGGACCGCAGCGTCACCGTGATGCCTAAATAGAGCTTTGTGGTCAATGAATGACCTAGTTTAAAGAAAAAAGGGCGGGATTAGCGTATATGCTGGTCACTTTTGCAACTCTATCTACTCTATGCCTCAAACCCCGCACTCATGGCGAAGTCGAGTATATATAGCCTTGAGCTTTCGCTCCTTGACATTCTAGCAATCCAAAATATTGGACACCACTATAGTCGGATAGTAGCTCGCAGAGTCTCGCAGCGGCACAAAACATGTGGCGGGGACTCCTCCTCGACCCCGACCCCGCAGAGCGCACACCAGCATCCTATTCTTGCTATTTAGAGATAAGCAACGTTCATCCCACTAGGCTCTCAGATAAGCCCTCATGCCTAACGGAGATTTCTTTCTCCATTTTACGCCCTTTTCACATGATCCGGCGCCCGCCGCATGAGAAGCGTGATGTTTTCGCACGACGTATAGGTTTCGTCTGTATTTTGACTGTTCAGTTGAGGGTAGTTATTTGAAATGGACACAGCGCGGAAGAAGAAAGTACTAGCCATCTACTTGCTATGGAGACGGCGAATAAGAAATTTTCTTTTCGTTCTTTCGATGTCAATCAAATCATTTGATGAACTAAATGCTACATATACTATCGGGAAAGTGTTCTGGAGGCTGCTTTGAAGCCGTGAGCAGACAAACATTTCGGCCGCAGGCCATGGACATTTCAACCAGACTAGGCACCGTCTCACAGTGCAGGAATGAACCAAGAATGTCTGAAAAACAACGTTCAGAACTTTATTCCGACCACACAATGGCTCTCGAATTCACCCGACGCGAATCCAATGGATTATTCTATCTGGAGCATTTTGGAGAGCAAGGTCCGAGCTAAGAAATACACCAGCCTTGAGATACTGAAGAAAGCCATTGTCCGTTAGTGGGCCAAAATATCGTCAAGTCACATTCGGGCAGCTTGTGATTCGTTTTTGGACCGTCTCAATGCTATAGTCAAGGCAAAAGTTGGTCATATTGAGCCAAAGTGAATCATTTCTGCATTTTCGAATATTTTCACACATACTGTACTTTGGAATAAATAAAAATCATTTTCCAAACCGAATTTATGGCATTTTGAGTGCCGGACCCTGTAGAGGCCTGAGCCGTGCGGCGTAGTCCAGTCCGGGGGGAATTAGCGCCGCGGGGCATCTGTGCCGTACGGCGCGCGCGGGATATTGTATGAAAAGACTCATCTACTCCCATAGCCCACCGCCGCATCAGGCCGCGCGCCGGATCGTGTGAAAAAGGAGTTAGAGTGTTGTCTAGAAATTAACACCTCCGTTATCCTCCTAACTCTTTACGCGGGCACATCTAGAGCTGGTTCAAGACCAACAAACCTGCTCTCTAATCCCGCTATGGCGAGTTTGTCCACCATACTATTTCCATGTACCTCACCGTGTCCTAGTACCTACACTAACAATACCAGATGTCTCGTTGCTAAGTTATCCAGAGCCTGGTTTGAGTGTGACAGAAGGTTCGAAGTAACTTTGCAGGCATGCCTTGATTGCGGTCTGGATGTCGGAGCAGATATTGATTCTTCTGTTAGGTCCATTCCACTACAGAATACGGGATGCTCAAGACATAATCACCGCTCCGCGATACTTTAGCACATTTTAATGACCACATTTCAATTCAGCGCCCCAAATGAAGTTTTTTTTATATAGAAGCAGTCGCGTAGGCAGAAATCTAAATACCGGGGCACTGCAACTGCTATAAAAAAGCTCCTCAGGTAGATTGTTCCATAATACAAATACCCTAGGAACGAAGGAGCATCGAACTGACCAGTTTACGGTGTTCGAAGATCGTCAGACTTGGAATGGGAGGCAGAAGCTTGGTGGGTCCGTCTGGCAAGCTCAACGCGTGGAGCATCATGGAGGAGAGCTGTGTGGACCATAGCCCGTTGACACTGCAGTAGAAGAGGACTCAGATCGTCGGCCGACCGTCGGCGAGAAAGACCTAGCTTTTCACAGGCAGCTGTTGCAATTGATGAGATGTGTTATGCCAAGGTCCTCGGTGATATTGACTCCGACCAGCCCAAATGAATGGTTCTCTGGTAGAACTTGGCCAACCACCGAAACTGGATGAGCGCGGAGACGCTTCTTGTTAATCAAGGTACAGTACTATTTTGAAAACATTGAACTGTACCAGATTGTTATATCCCTAAGCGGTGATAACTTCCAAATCTCTCGTCAAAGACGAAGTCGCTACTCTAGTCTTTTTCACTCCAGATCATCAGCAGGGATCGGCTTGCAACACTTAATGCCTACGTGTAGAGTGATGTCATCGGCAAAGCTGTGGATGGGATTGATCGTGAGGTCGTTGATATGAATAGCCAAGATCGGTCTCTGGGGAACACCCTCGTGTGGGAGGAAGAGGAGGTAAACCGTCAATTACTGCAGATATCTTATGACCGGAGAAGAAATCAGCCACTTATCTGCAAAGCTTCTCTGGGTGGCCATAGGATGGAAGCTGGCATGAGAGTGCTGCATGCCACAGCTGATCGAAAGCTTTTGTGATGTCAAGCGCAATGTCATGAGCCTCACCATGAGACTGCATGATTTTACCCCGCGGTTGTTTTGATTAAAAAACGTATTATTAGAATATTTTAAATATTACTAGTTACTCAATAAGATGAAAATGAAACTAGAAGCACATGCGCCAAAATCAAGAATTCTCTTACAATGTGCTTGAAAAATTACAATAAATTATGTCACATGGTTTATGATCGTCTCTGAAACCAGTTACGTCAATTATTATTGCCTATATATTATTCCACAGGATTTCCGGAAATTTGATCTAATTACATGAGTGGCATTGCTGAATTATTACCAATTGAATCGTTATATCGGTTATTAAGTGAATCAGTAAACAATAACGAGAGATGATGGACGTTTTAACGAATCAATCAAAGTTTGACGGCAGTGGTTGGCAGCCATGTTGAGGACAACTAAATTTAATTTGCACTAACTGATAAAATGAGAGAGTCTATGAAAATACGAGCAGATGCAACCTTCTCAAAAAGTTTAAGTCACATATTCGACTGCCAAAGAGATGAGATCACTAAATTGTACTATTTACTAATAACTACAAACATATTAAAGTTTTGATTAACATTTAAAAAACAAAGATTTACAAAACCAAGATTTACAATAACAATACCCCATAAAAGCTTTGGAATTTTTTTAACGAATGTTTGAAGAATGTGTAGGAAGTTCTTTCTTTCGTCCTTCCCTATTATTTTTTTAGAAAAATGTTCATAAAAACCGTTTTTGTTCAGAATCACCCAAAAAAAAAAACTAAAAAAACTTTTTCCAGAGAGAAAAAACAATTTTTGGAACTTAATTTTTTATTCAATTTTGGGCCTTGCATTCCTTGCATCATGCAGATTCATTAAAAGCGATCCTTTTTGAATAAGCTTATGTTAAAAATATAATCAGAATATTTTCCCGTTCAGGCGACAAACAATGTAAGGTAAAAATATAGCTTCTTCTAATTTATTCAAATTCGTTGGTTCTATCGGAAATGGTAAGCTGCTGTAGCTGTATAAAAAATTAATAGAATATATTATTAACAGTTTACGTTTGTTAACATGTAATTAGTTTGACAACATTCATTAATCTCCTTCTTTCATTCATCTTTACACTAACCAGATAACTATGAATAAAAATAAAAATGGCCACTCAACATTTTGGTAGATATTTTCAAATATTCCATATATACATTATCTAATCATTCGAGAACCTACAATTACTATTCAATGAAAAAATATTTGCAACTGTGCCAGTTATAATATTGGACAAAGGTCACCAATTCGTGAATTATGTTCCATAGAATTGATATGTGTAACAAAACAATTTAAATTACATCAAAAACAAGTACAGAGCAGCTAGAATCAGCGAAAGGTTATCATATTATCTGTCGAGCAAAAGAATCCAAGAGGGAAACGGTGAGAGATGTTGCGGAAACCGGTAGGTATGTCGGTATTACCCAAGGAATTCAGACTACATACAAGGAGCCATTACAAGATTTGTTCCTTAATTCTCATAGTCTCCAGTGAGGATCAAAGTGCACTTGTCATAAGTCATTTTTTCGACAGTTCTGTCATTAAATTCGAATATTTAATGTTATTTTTTAAAAGTGGGAGTTACATAATTTGCATAAGCGCAACACAAGAAGGTTGATGCTTCCTCCGATAAGTATTAATATTATCTTGACATAACGCTGACACTTTAGTAGGCACTGGTAGACAAATGAGTCAAGTAGTGTAGTAAAACTGCGCAATTCCGGCACCAAACGATGCAATGTAAACATATGGGCTTGGCTCCTAATCTATTCGAATCCGTTGGTTTAAGCTGTAACCTGTGAAATAAGAATTTCAAGAATGACATTTTTTATTCAAATCGGTCATTTTGATTTTATAAAATTTTAGCATACCCAGCGTCACTCGCCCTCTCCAGGCAAATCTAGACACACGCATATGTCAAAATCCATCGGCTGTTTAAGTTGTAGCCGTGGAATAGGCACTCAATTTCAAACCCAACCCCCCCCTGCCCCGTGGGGAGAAATCTTGATGAACATGAATTCTGGGACCACCAATGTGCCACCCTTGAATTTTGCTATATGTTGATGGTTGATGCCCATGTTGATATTTAAAGTAGTTCACATCATCAACATGTATCATCTAGGGCGTAGCTATTTTTCACATATATACGTAGGTATTGTATCTACACAATCTTTTGTACCTAAGGAGACGTCCTTAGAGTTGAAGCAAAGTTCATATTTAAATAGAAAAGGAAAGTAAAACTGACTGATATAGGTACCGCGTAAACTAATTCAAGGCGTCTGAGTTCGCGAATTACCTAGACGTCAACGTTCTTTTAACCTAGATCTGAAGGCCACTTAACACGTGCTAAACCGATGGCTCTGCCAACTTTTCATCGTATAATGTAGTGCTGGGTCAGTCCTGAACAAAAGAATCGATTACTATTATCCCAAATGAATCGATTCCGACTCCGCTGGTTTCGGTTCTGAGTATTGCGATTCCGATTTCGATCGTTTAGGTTCCAAATTGGCCGGATCGGATTTTGGACAAACTGTTAGAAAGGACGATACTGGTCAGATTCGAATTTTGCGGCTACCTCAATAACTTGATTGTAGCGCCTCTAAATGAGGAACTATTTTTATTTATTTTCAATATTATATTTTTAATGAGCAAATGCTATTCCATGCAAATACTAACTACTCTTATGAATGCAATTTTACGAATCTGAAATACGTTTTTTTATGCATCTTGACGTACACATCAGTAAAGCATATGTATCCATCTTTTAAAAAATGGTACAATAATGTAAGATTGAAAAGGAGCCCGATCGAATTTCATATAATTTGTGGCGTCCTTTTCCTATGTTAAGTTCGGTAATAATTGCGATGACGGTGATTTTGGAAGATTTTCCACCAGTAGTTAAGAATCCTTCACTTGAACAAGTTTTTATTAGAGATATCATTGTTATGATTTTCCCAGACGATGTCACAAGATGACTAAAACACAAAATATTGCTGGCATATGGGTACATATTTTATGTAACAGAAACACAACATTTAGGTTAAAAAAAATTGGATATGTTAGTAAAAAGATTAAAAATAAAAATGGTCGAGTTATCCAAATTTTGGTTTAAACTGTTTAGTTCCGATTTTGGAACACTTTTTTTTTAAATTCCGAATCTGATTTTTTTATTAGAAAGACCAGAAAAATTCCTATATAAAGCATTATGTTTAATATCTCAATTCAACATTTTTTAATTTGAGGAAATAGTCCGAAAACACATCCAATTGCCGATATTCTTCAGAATTCCGTTACTTAGCTTATTATAAATCACACTAAAAATAACGTCTTTTTGATACCTACGAGATGTAGGATTTTGAACTCCACTTGTTTCGTTGCCCACTTCAAGTATCTTCAGTAGTCGTTACTACAATTATTGTAAGGCGCCTTTATGGCCTCCTTGATTTTCATAGTTTTCTAATGTTCCGTGTCAGCGCTCTATTTTGAGATAATGTTACAAATTTCTATTTGCATGAATTGTTCAAGCTTTTGATTTTATCATCTGTTATATCAGCCTGAAATTTCCTACGATTCAAAAAGAAAACATAGCTTCACAATAGAAGAGCGCTGGCGCTGACTGGGAACAGTAGAAATCCACAAATATTACAGCCTTCCTGAAGGAGAGAAAATACTATGAAAATCAAGGAGGCCATAAAGGCGTCCTACAATTATTGTAAATTGTACTATAAAAAGCATGAACAATTTGATGCAAATGGATATTGTAACATAACCTCAAAATAGAGTGCTGACACGGAGCAGTAGAAAACTATGGAAATCAAGGACGCCATAAAGGCGTCCTACTATTGTAGGAAGGACTGAGAATACAGCACATATTATAAAGATATGACACCTGCTGTTGGTCCCTTTGATATTTCTGTCCACAACTGCTTACCACATTTCCTGCTTATGGTCATTAGTGTCCGGAGGATTATTTCTTAGGGGTTGTTACGCTTTATTAGCCTGACGTCCGAATGTCATACGTCAAACAACAAGAATCATAAAATTTATTTCTGTTTATCATTTACCCACATCTCTTCTGACGAGATAATTATTATTTCTTGAAAAGCTTTTTATATTGAATATAACCAAAACAAAAAAAAAAACAAAGCTCAATGTTTTTGATAACCCTTAAATCCTAAATATCACACTAACATGAATCCCACCAAACGCATAAGACTCAAGTTGGCGTTGATAGAAGCTGATTTTTGACATAGCGCTGCCTCTGGTAGTATTCTACTGATATGGCCTTTAGATGAGATGACCTCGCAGTAATTCGTGGCAGGCGGTGCCGATGTCAGTTTAGTTCCCTTGCATTGCATAAACATAACAATGAATTGGAATCAAAAGGAATCGGAATCGTGATGGAATGAAAACAATTGATTCCGAAACCATAATCAAAACCATAGAACTGAATCACCAAAAGAAACTGTTTAGCCCACCTTTAATATAATGTTGAAGTGTGCCTATATAATTTTCAGACCTAGGTACATACCCTTTTTCTTTTTTTGTCAACACTGGCCAACTATTTCCTATTGTTGAAGTGTATCTACATAATTTGATTTCTCAAACTTACCCGTTTTCTTTTTTTCGATCACATCACCGTTGTCTTGCAAAAATACGGTAGTATATCTAGTGTCAGTATAGTTTCCGTTTTTCTTATTCCGTGACATTTTTCTGGTGTGATATATCTTTTTTTAGCGCCAGGAATTTTTAGTTAGCTTAAGCGAACATTTTTCCAAAATAGAAATTAAAAATAAAACCTAATCAATAAATAACTTGTACTTCTATAATCGCCTATAGAAAAAAAGTCACTTGAACCTCTTCCGCTTTCTCGCGAAAATTATCGTAAATAAGTTATAGTGTAATGCTGGCGAAAAAAATTTCATAATCGACCATTCAACTGTCCCACATTGCACTGCTGCCAAATTGCGACCTAAGCGACTTAAGAGTCGGACGATCGTTTTTAGCGCGACACTTCACTGTCGGGCACCGGATGGCAAATTTGCGCCTTTTATGCTGATCAAAATAGGGAATTATTCGGGAAAAACTGATAGATAACTACGTTCTACCTCTACCGGCGAGGAAACGTACGGGATCGCACACCGGCATCCAACATATACGACATCCGAATTCTGAAGGCCGCGGGCATGCGCGACTTTTTACCGCCGATGCGGCATTGCCAGTTTTTCCCATGCAATGTTCTTTCGGAGCAGCCGACTCTTGTACATTTTTTTAGTGAAGTTCTAAAGTTGCAGATCCACAATGAGATTTTTTAATGATATTTTTGTCTCGTGAGATAAAAATCTCATGAAAAGTATTACCTATTTCATTGTGGAAGTAGGCGTGAGATACGTGAGTTAATCGCATTAAGCAATGTATCATGAGAATATAATCTCTTCTACGTTTAAACGTGTAAACATGATATATTGCGAATCTCACATGAGATATTTATTTCATTTACTTCACGTAAATTACGTTGTTATATCGTGAGATAAAACCTGTCTGTAGGGGAATGACTGAACCAAGTGAAAAGCCATGTTCAAAATAAAAAATTCTAGTTGAGGATGATGTCTTATAGCTTTTGCACATTTAACTTCATGTTTTTTTTATAATAATTATATAAAGTTAATATTCTATTTGTATTCTGTTTATTTTGAGTAATACTTGTTACGACTAGTATTCGTACCGTTATCTACCATAACCGGTCATTTGGTGTGATAGAAATAGGTGAGTATCAAGTGTTGGTATGTTAAGTATTGAATTATAGCAGATTGTTATGTTCCAGAGCAGTGATATCTTCCGGATCTCCCTTCAGAAAGGAATTCGCTACTAGTCTAGGTTTAAATAGTTTTCCGGTTTCTAGGAACGATACGTATATTTTTTTCTATAATATAAACAGGCGTTTAGAATCTGCACTCTCTCCTCCCGCCAAAATGTTACTTAAGCATTTCTTCCGAAATCTGCCAGATGTGGCAACACTGCGTCTATCAAACCTCGTGCTTTTTAGCCTACGGCACGCGGTGTGTGGCAAACGTCATGATGTACAGTGAATTCCCAGAAGGCAATCTGTGGCATTCATTCCTTTCTGGGAGGCTACCTACTCCCTTTATCTTTTTAACGGTACAACGTGTCCCAAAGCTTTTTTCCTGGATTTACTATAAGCCTCCTTGAAATATTCCGATATGGGATGAAAAGTATTTATTTTCTAAAAATAGATCTGTGGGGTATACTGGCGCATCGCGTAGGTACGTGATTTTTTTATAAACATGAGACTGCTAGAAGTTTTCATGAAAGGAATTTTTTACAAAAAAATTATAAGCTACCTACTATAATCGTTCCTGCAGCTTCAAAAGAGTATTTTGTGCTTATAAACTAAAGTGAAAAAAAAAGATATCACAGATTAACAGAAAATATATTATCACAGATCGCACCTGCATCCTAGGTATTGCAAAAAATATCAGAAGAGACTGGTGAATATCATCTCAAATTATTTTCAAGCCGTAGCAACCTAACCATTTTGTTACGCTGAAGCAGCTACGTAGACAGCAACCTAAATTCCGGGGTTCAACGAATGCTAAACAAATTAAAGACGCCATATTAATTCGATTTTAGAACTGTTTAAAGTTAGTAGAACTGGGAAAAACCACCTCAGGCAGAGTGTTCCATAATATCGATACCGTAAGAACAAATGAGCGGTCGTACCGGCCACTTCGACAGCTGTCTGGTGGGCCCGTCTTGCAGACTCAACGCGTGACGTCATAAGGGAGGGGTGTTCTGAGGAGCAGATCCCGTTGACATAGCGGTAAATAGTGTGCGGATCAGCCGTGGGTGCCAGAGGAGCCCGAGACTGTCCGAGTGTGGACAATGCTTTCAGCGCGGCCGCACCCCAAAAATGTGAGCAGTACTTAAGGCTTGGTCTTATTGGGTCCTTATTAACAGAGTGACAAGGTTATCTGTGGAGACAAGAAGGTACTTCTTAGCCATTGAAAAACTTAGAATTTGCCAATTCCTAGGTAAATATGCTGTGTATCAAGACCTTGAAACTAAGATATTCGGCGTGCAGGAGTTTGATAGAAAATATAATCGCAGACTGATCGGATACTGAGATCTTCGTTCGAAAGTTTAGCAGATCGACATCAAGTTTTAGGTCTAGTTGTGTTGTTAATTTTACAATTGGTACCCCTGCGAAAAAAGACCAAATTCCGAAGAATAGAAAATAATATCCTACCATAACTGATATATTACTTCTTACCTGAACATCCCTCTAATTTATATGCTACATTTTCGTTGAGTCACCAATCTACTTAGATCAACTCCTGACGTCAATTGGCATTGTACCAGTATCTAACTAAATGACGAATTTAACAAAATAATATTGATATGACTGACATAATGTGCCTAGTTGATTACTGTTACATAAAGTGATGACCATATTTTCCAAAAAATACCTACCTTTCCAAACAATATGCAAAAGGGCAATACGGTACAAATTCATAATAATCAATAATATCAAAATAAGTCGATTGGATATCATTTACGGTGCAAAAGTGCAAAAGTGCATCGTTTTTCCAAAAGGGCGTTAAAATATTCTTTCCTAATTGAACGCATGAAATATAGCTATGGATGTTAGGGATATAAATTAACCTTATTGTAACTAACTGTATATAATCGATAGAAATATCAGTAAGTCAAATGTGCAAAAGCGATAAGATATGTTCATTTTCAATGCAAAAGTTTGTAATCGGTCTTTTGATCGGTTAGCCTAGATTTGGCACCCAGTGACTACCAACCCAGTATCAATGCTTCCTCAAGTACCTGACACCGAGTTGGTATGCCACAGCATACAAAAATCGTATACTACATATAAAAAATACAATAAACCACTAAAAGACACACGGCGTCATTACGAGATCAGTGCTCTTCAAAAACCGAGTTTGAATAATCCAAACTGCCAAAAAATAAACCGATTTTAATCCTGCTATCAGCCAGTTCATCCTTAATAGGTTACAAAAGTTGTGCAATATTGCGAGGAACCGTTTAACGCGACGTGTAATCACAAGGTCATGATATAAAACAGTGAAGTCGTATGATTAATATTATCAAAGCAATCATTTTCCTATATGTTACACCATAATTATAGATCCATCCATGACTTGTTTCACGTGATAGAATATGTCACGGAATTTGGCCCCGTAACACTGTCACGACAGTATCTACGACGTAAGTCATAACAAGTCATGATTTGAGTACAGTGACCGCCTGATTTCGGCGACTTGTTTTAGTACTTAGGACTTCAATACATGGAAGTTTTGCGCTTTGCTGCAGAGTTCTTGATAGAGGGCATGGATAAACGTATTTTTCAAGAGGACGTAAAACCATAAACTGAATTTGGACGTTTACATTTCCATAGTTACCGCCAAGTAGAATCGCAAAATGGTATAAAGTAGGTTGACTCTGCATTTCCCAGGCAACGCTGTCATCGGTTAATGAAGGCTTATATTGTTCGGCACCAGTCAGAAAAAAGTAAGCTACGAACATTTAAAACAGAAATTAAATGGATCAAGTAAGCAAAATAGTCCCATACAGTTAGTCCATAGACATCTTTTTCCTGCTCTACCGATAGTACCGTCTATCTGGCAACGTCGCCCTCCCCCCATACCTCACCGTTCGATGAATCCACTCGTCAGACTCGGCAGCATGGCAGTAACATTACGACACTCATGAAGGAGATTATGACGCAGGTCAACCCACGAAGACGCATATCGGAGATAATTGTCCAAGTTTTAAATGTACGGGGGAAATGTATGATTTGTGAAATATGTCTAAAAGGTGAGTAGAATTACCGGGCTTAGAAGCGTCTGAATATATTACCGCAAAAAATCAGATATACATCACCCCCAAAAACCCCTAATTTCCAACCCCTCCAAAAAGTTTTCAGAAAATAATCAGGAGCGTCGAAAACGAAAAATGAAGTTTGAGTGATTTTTCTATTTTTAGCTTTTTGTCCTTAACTCCGCCGCTATTGTACCGATCTTCAAAAACTACAAAGCGTACGTGAAATTTTCATCAAAATCCAAGCGCTACTGTTTAAGTTATAGGGTATAGACGGTCCAAGGATTAGCGGACAGATCGACGGACATGCAGACAAACAGACAGACCGACGGAATAGAGTGACATGGTTTTTCATTATGTACATGTCATATAACATCCAAAAAACATAAGATCTCATTTTTGAAATTTTTCGCAATCACATACTTCCTCGCCAGTGGCTTAGGAAGTTGAATGGCACTTGCAAATACAAAAACATTATTTCTCACTATTTTCATTCCAAAGAGAATTATTGCTTCTTAAGCACGACAGCAGCTCAGCTCTCACCGTAATTATTCCCAAGACGACAACGCTGATACCTAAAGGCAGTGGTCGACATACATACATAGACACCACATTTAGTCTAATCATATTAGCAAATTTCCCCGAAATAATTGTAAAGTTTTATTCATGCAAGTTGTTAAAGAGGGTATTTAAAACATGGACGCATAAAATAACATAGGTACACCAATTTTCGTAGGAAAACTTTTTATTCGACAACAAAGAATGAGAAAACGTGTTTTTTGGAATTCAATCGAAAGTGTTGGCTCCTCAAAAAAGATTTTTAGGTATCTATGAGACCTATAGAATGAGACCACGCGTAAAAAGATCCAACTAATAGTAAAAAAAGTTATGGCCGAAAACCAACGCAAAATGCAGGTTTCGGCAGTTGTTGCTAATGCGACGATAATTTCACGCAGCTACTTGAAATTCTTCAAATAATCACAACAAAATTGGAATCGATTGGTCAAGAAGTTTTTGAGAATTTCTAATTGTTTATTCCAAAACACCTGTCTTCAGTACTAGTTTATTGAGCAATACACAGGGTTCGTTCAACGGCCATTTTATAGTAAAATACACGAGTTTAGTTTGCCGCAAGCAAATTCAAATATTTCGTATTTGTAAGTAAGCTTTTTCTTCGCAACAAAATATGGTAGACACGTCCGCTTTATTTTAAAATGCGTATAATAACGTATGTTTTTTCGAATATCGTAGCGAATCTGTTCAGTTACTTACAAATACGAAATGTTTGAATTTGTT